TCAGATTGACTGGGAGGGTGGAGAAATCGTTTCTTGGGGAATCGGTTGTAGGAAAGAATGTCTGCAGAGAGTCACTTCTGTTTGTCCCGTAAACTCTTATACTAACTCTTCCCAATCCACAGACGTTCAGATACCATTACAATATCTAGATCTCAAATCTGTATTTGACAAGAGTAAGGCGGATACTTTACCTCCCCACCGGTCTTATGACTGTTCTATTAAACTTTTCCCTGGTACTATGCCTCCTAGGGGCACGGTATACCCTTTATCCACCAAAGAAAATTTAGTTTTAGAGGAATACATCAAGGAGAATCTAGACAAAGGATTTATTAGAAAGTCTTCTTCTCCGGCGGGGGCGGGTTTCTTTTTTGTAGAAAAAAAAAGACGGTACCTTACGTCCTTGTATAGACTATCGGGGATTGAACAAAATTACTATCAGGAATGCTTATCCCATTCCTTTGATTACTGAACTCTTTGACAGACTAAAGGGCTCGAGTATTTTTACCAAACTTGACTTGAGAGGAGCATATAACTTGGTGAGAATTAAACAAGGAGATGAATGGATGACAGCATTTAATACCCGTTACGGGCATTATGAGTATACTGTAATGCCGTTTGGGCTATGCAATGCCCCGGCCGTCTTCCAAGACTTGATTAATGAAGTTCTTAGAGAATTTCAACACGAATGTGTGATTGTATATTTGGATGATATACTAATACATTCTAGAGACATTAACTCACATCATAGACAAGTCAGAAAGGTATTACAGAAGCTTTTACAACATGGATTGTATTGTAAATTGGAAAAATGCTGCTTTGATCAGTCTCAGGTTACTTTCTTAGGTTACGTAATTTCCAAAGACGGGTTTATGATGGACCCGACCAAACTAAAATCGATTTTAGATTGGCCTTTACCTAAGGGACTCAAAGCCATACAAAGATTTCTTGGATTTTCTAATTATTACAGACGTTTCATTAAAGGGTACTCCTCTGTTATCGCTCCTATCACTAATATGACCAAACAAGGAGCCGATACCAAAACATGGTCTACTGAGGCATTATCTGCTTTCGAAACGCTCAAACAGTCTTTTGCCTCAGCACCTGTATTAGTTCATCCTGATACCTCTCTGCCCTTTTTACTTGAAGTTGATGCGTCTGAAACAGGGATAGGCGCAGTATTGTCCCAAAGACAAAGTTTAGATAAGCCGCTGCACCCTTGCGGTTTTTTTTCCAAGAAATTATCACACACTGAAAGGAGATATGACATTGGTGACAGGGAACTCTTAGCTATTATTATGGCATTAAAGGAATGGAGACATCTGTTAGAGGGCACTGTTCTCCCAGTTACTATCTTGACTGATCACAAAAAATTATCTTATATGGGGGAGGCCAAAAGATTATCTGCCAGGCAAGCACGTTGGTCTATGTTCCTTACACACTTTAATTATATGCTTACTTACAGGCCTGGTTCTAAAAACACTAAGGCTGACGCATTGTCTCGTCAGCACGAACCTATCACCACTACAGAAGACACTTTGTCCCCTATTGTTCCTGAAATCAACATTATCGCCAACACCAATGTCAAAATACACTCTCCATTGCTCGTAGATATAATGAACGAACAATCTCTTGCTCCCGAGCGTACTCCTGTGGGCCGCTTGTTCGTGTCTCCCAAATTCCAAGTGGACATTATTCGCTGTTTTCACGATAGCAAGTTTGCTGGTCACCCCGGCATCCACAAAACTTACTGCCTGATTTCCAAAGACTTCTGGTGGCCTAGTTTACGTAGGGATGTGGAAGACTTTGTCAAGGCTTGCGATGTTTGTGTCAGGAATAAACTACCACGGGATCTCCCTTGTGGTCTATTGCAGCCCTTAGTCGTTCCCAACAAACCTTGGGCTAGTTTGGCTATGGATTTTATTGTTGATCTGCCGGTTTCCAATAGGCACACGGTTATCCTCACGGTTCTTGACAGGTTTACCAAAATGGCTCATTTCATTCCCTTGCCTAAACTTCCGTCCTCTCCTGAACTGGCCGTGATATTTGCTAGAGACATTTTTCGTTTGCATGGTATTCCCAATGAGATTGTGTCTGACAGGGGTTCCCAGTTTATGTCCCGTTTTTGGAGATCCTTCTGTTCACAGTTGGGCATCAAGCTGAATTTTTCTTCGGCCTATCATCCTCAATCTAACGGAGCAGCCGAACGCACTAACCAAAAAATTGAGCAATATCTACGTTGTTTTGTTTCTGAACACCAGGACGATTGGGTCGGTCTGATTCCTTGGGCGGAGTTTGCTCACAACAACCTTGTTTGTGGTTCCACTTGTAATAGCCCCTTTTTCTTGAACTATGGCTTTAATCCTACTGTTCTTCCGTCGGTATCTCCTTCCCAGGGTTTACCGTCGGTTGATGTTCATATAGCCAACCTGAGAAAGTTGTGGGATCAGACTCGACAAATTCTTACGCGTAGTTCCGCGGTGTTTAAGTTGCATGCTGATAGGCGTAGTCGGCCTGCTCCTGTTTTTTCTCCGGGTGATAGGGTCTGGTTGAGTACCAGACACATTCGCCTGAAAGTTCCCTCCTTGAAGTTTGCTCCCCGTTACATAGGTCCTTACAGGGTGCTGAGGAGGATCAACCCGGTTTCTTATTTGCTGGACCTGCCTCCTACTCTACGCATCCCTAACTCTTTTCATGTGTCTTTATTGAAACCTCTTGTTTGTAACAGATTTTCCTCCCGCACTGCTCCTCCATCCTCAGTCCGTGTGGATGGTCAGGAAGAATATATCATTAGGTCCATTCTTGATTCTCGTATTTCCAGGGGGAAGTTGCAATACCTCATTGACTGGAAAGGTTATGGTCCAGAAGAGAGGTCTTGGGTTCCTGGTATAGACGTGCATGCTCCTCGTCTTCTTCGGGCCTTCCACGTTCGTTTTCCTTCTAAGCCCGGTCCCATCCGCCCGGTGGGCGTTTCTAGAAGGGGGGGTACTGTCAGGGTACCTGTTGGTGCTGACTCCAAGGAGGACATCCTCTCTGCTTAGGGGCTCCCTGTCCCTAGCATTTCGGCAAATTCCGGCCGTTTTCGTGCCGGCCGCGCTAGCTCCTCCCCCTTTTATGACGCGACGGCTAGCGTCGACGTCATGACGTCAGCATTACGTGAAGTGCCGGGAACCGCAATTCCGGACCTTTTGGGGGCGTGGTCTCAATTAAGGTGACAGGGTATTTAAGGGAACTTTTGCTACTGCTCATTGCCCTGTCGTGGTTCTAGCTTGCTAGTCACTCAGCGCGTTCTCTCTCTTAGTGTTTTCGGTTTTGACCTTGCTTGTCTTTTGTCCAGTTGTCCTCTCCTCTCCTTTGACTCGGCTTGTATCTCGCTTACCTGTCCTCCGGCTCCCTCGAACTCGGCTTACCTTTTGACTATTCTTGTTTTGTCCATACGTTAGTCCGGCCATTCTAAGGTTCGGTATACGTACCTCCTTCTGTCCGCACTCTGCGTATTGGATTCCTGTCACTATCCTGACAGTAACATTTTGTCCTTAGACCCAAATAGCTTAATTGCTTTGGCCTTGTCTGGTTTTGATCATCGATGGTCACAAATGTGCTTCCTGTCAGACAGGTAAATGTGCTGTTGTACTGTGTTGTGAATCACCACTCCCTGGAGATGGGGACAGGCTTGTAAGAAATCTATGGAAGCATACGGACCTTATTAATAGCACAGGAACAAAGGAAATCCAATGAGACGGGAACCTAAACTTCAGAGCCATGAAGGGATCAAGAAGAAGGCAGAGCCAGTCCAAAGTCAAAGGTCTGGAAGGGGAGCATAGAGTTGAAGATCCAAAAGGCATGTCAAAGGTCAAGAATCTAGAAGGACAATTAAGGAGGATGAAGGTCAGGAAATGGGGACTAGAATAGAACAAGCTAGTAATGAGAGCAACAACACAATGCTGGTCTCCAGGAAGGGGAGCTACAAGTTATCTGAGCACTGGATCAGTGCGTTTTAACTCATATCTTTTCTTTTGAGCACTTATTCAGTACTTAAGCGGCTCATTCACCCTCTGGGGTGTTTCCATATTTTGGTTATTATTCCACTGGGTGCAGAGAAAGGTTAATTTTACTTACCTGAACCTGTCCCTTGTGCCTCCCACCATCCTCATCCAATTGGTGCTCTGCAGCTCTTGGCTCTTGATCTGCCAGGAGCCCAGGTCTTGCACATGTATGGGAATTCAACACTAATTTCTATGGAAGACGTATAGTCAATACCTTTTTCCTCTCAGCTGTCACTAGTGATGGCTGGGGGAAATTTAAAAAGTTTGGCAAGAGTAGCTCCTCTCTCGTTTAGATTTTAGAGGTCCTAACTGACACCCATGGGTCAGGAATCGGAAGAATGCTTGTGTACTCTATTTACTTTACATATTATTAACATATTTCAGTGACATGTACAGTGAATATAAGGCAACATTTTTAAAAATGACTACAAAGTTTAGAATTAGACAAGACGTAAAGAATATTTGGAGCTGAAATGAATGTTAAATCTGACTTTACGTTGATATGAACAGCAAAGGCTATTAATAAGCCTCCATTAAGCACTTTTGTTGTAAGTGCCAGCAGTGTGTGTCTGTCAATGCAGTGAGTGTTTTAGTGTACAGTAAGTGCCAGCAGTGTGTGTATGTCAGTGCAGTGAGTGTTTTAGTGTACAGTAACTGTCAGCAGTGTGTGTGTCACTTAGTGCAGTCACTGGGTGTTGTAATGTACAAGAAGTGCCAGTAGTGTGTATGTCTGTCAGTGCAGTGGGTGTTGTAAAGTACAGTTAGTGCCAGTAAAGTGTGTGTGACTGTCAGTGCAGTGAGTGTTTTAGTGTACAGTGTACCGGATCCCCTATACTGTGACTGAGTGCATCCGTTGTGATTCTCCCATTTCCCAAGCGAAGCAGTGATTAGAGCTCTTGGTTACCCAAACATCAGCTGAGACTTGAGGAAGGGTACAACAGGATCTGTTTATTGAAGGCCAGATACACAGTATTTATGCACAGACCCCCACAGGGGGTCTCCATCCACAGTAATGTAAAACATAAGCCTGCCCTGGCGTCCCTTTGTCTGGGACATAATGGTATCTACCAGACACAGGAATCCGACACACAAAATCCCACAAAATACACAGTAATGCATCCATCCCCATATGCCCTACTTCCCTGGATAGCTCCTGGTGTGAGCTATGTTCCCTGAAAAAGTCTGGGCTCGAGGCTCTGTACATACCCTAAACAGTTCCACAAGATCACTTGGTTTAGGCTGGTGAAAGAAGCGGCCAATCGGAAAAAAGGGCGAAAACACGTAGTGGCCAGTCAGCATTCAGGGAGAGAAGGTGTTGTGGCGAAACCAACCTCGCCACTGTGAACTGGAGAAGCCTGGTTGCTCGCCTGCTCCCTTTGGACTATGGCCCTGCAGGTTAAACCGTTTATTTCCCCTGCAGAAAGGCTTATTTGTGTGATCTGAGTGCCATTCATCTAATAATGTGCACTCAGATCCCAGCTATCTGGGGATATGTGAAATGCCTGTGTGTTATGTGTAAATATGACTTTATGTATTTTAAAGTGTTTTGTGTCTTTTTGCAACCATGTGCTTAATGGAGTCTTGTGTCTATCCTGGGAGATAATTGAATTACTTATCTCCAGGATAGAAGACTCTGAAACTGGTTTGGGCTAGAAAGCCATGCTTCATTTAGTCACAAAGGACTTTTTACTAACTTTTGAACCCTTTGTCTGATTTGTGCCATTTTTGAATATGTTGTTCCCCTGAATGGATTGATTGAGAATATGTAATTTTATGTGAATGTGATGTATGGTTTTGGAGTTATGAAAGTTGGGTAGAAAGTACGTTTTAACTGTATGTATAATTGAGTTTCCTCTCAGGATAAGGGGAGGGAATATGTGGGATGTAACTGTGATGTGATTGGTTGTTTTGTAACGCCCTGTGGGCTGTACTATGTTTGTGGATTGGGAATAAAAGAGACTGTATGTGACAGTACAGGAAGTTCCTGCTTAACCCTCAAAGTGAAGTGTCGTCTCATTATTGGGGGAAGGATTCATTGTATGCTGTTCCAGTTTGACTGCTAGGAGAGTAAACCTATTCGTATGGTTCCTATTCAACTGTTTACAGCATTCATATGCTTGGGAGAATTTATTTGTTTCTCCGGTTCGGTGATTGTGGTGTCTGCCAGAGTGCTTGGAGTCCTCAGGAAGCGCTAGGAGCATCCTTCAGCGGAGGTACCCAGTCGGGGGTGCCAGGTGATCCGTTACAGGTGTTTAGCTGACCAATCAGGAGAAAGGGTGCAAAACCAATTTGGATTGTAGCGCTTCTTCCATTGGTCGGCACGGTCTCTGCGGTTGTGAAGCAGCCTGCTTGTTTTATAATGTCGACTAGGGCTCACGCCTCTCCTTGTTGGATGTCTCCACGTGGGTAGCACCAGGGAGAGCATTCTTTGAGGTAGACAAGCCTCCAAGGGACAAAGTGGTGGCGGGGAGCGGGAGGGCTGCATTCTGTTGGTGTACACAGTCATACTGACACAGTTTGTTACATACAGTAACTACCAGCAGTTTGTGTCTCTCAATGCAGTGAGTGTTTTAGTGTGCAGTAACTGCCAGCAGTGTGTGTGTCTGTCAGTGCAGTCACTGGGTGTATTAATGTACAGTGACTGCCAGCAGTGTGTGTGTGTAGGTCTGTGCAGTTACTGTGTGTTGTAATGTACAGTAAGTGCCAGCAGTGTGTGTGTGTCTGTCAGTTCAGTGAATGTTTTAATGTACAGTAACTGCCAGCAGTGTATGTGTGTCTGTGCAGTTACTGTGTGTTGTAATGTACTTTAAGTGCCAGCAGTGTGTGTCTGTCAGTGCAGTGAATGTTTTAATGTACAGTAACTGCCAGCAGTGTGTTTGTGTGTGTGTGTGTGTCTGTGCAGTCACTGTGTGCTGCAATGTACATTAAGTGCCAGCAGTGTGTGTGTGTAGGTCTGTGCAGTTACTGTGTGTTGTAATGTACAGTAAGTGCCAGCAGTGTGTGTCTGTCAGTGCAGTGAATGTTTTAATGTACAGTAACTGCCAGCAGTGTGTGTGTGTGTGTCTGTGCAGTCACTGTGTGCTGTAATGTACATTAAGTGCCAGCAGTGTGTGTGTCTTTCAGTGCAGTGAGTTTCTCAATGTACAGTAAATACCAGCACTGTGTGTCTATTCCTTAGTGTGAGTGCTTCCTGTGTCTGACAGTGGGAGGGTTATAGAGTAGCTCACAAACAGGAAGTGCTCCCAGTAAAGCTCTGCACGGACTGCAGTGTACGAAGTGCAGGTACTGAGCGCTTGCAGTATACAGGGGGTTTGTGCTGCAGCCCCTTTATACAGAGAAAGTGCAGGATATGTGCTGCAATCCCTTTGTAGAGGGACTTTGTGCTGCACATCATGTATACAGGGATTGTGTGCTGTCAGCCTGTAATACAGAGACTGACAGTGTGCTGCCACCTTATTATATAGATACTGTTTGCTGAACTCTATACAGGGGCAGGGAGCCTTAATGGTAAAGCTGGCTTTTCTCATGGTGATTATTAATATGAGAACGTTAAAAGGTTGACAGGATTCTGTGTTGGAAGCTATATCCTTGCCATTCAGTAGATCAAAAGGTCAGGGGTTTGTTAGAAAAATAATCTTGGCAGTATTAGCTCTGGGTGTTATTTAGAGAACATTGTTTGTATATTTTAATTGAGTTTGCTTTTCACGAGGTCTTATACCTGTAATAGGTGTTTTTGAGTGCACTGGACTGTGCTGAAATATATAGGGGGGGGGGGGTGAATTATTCACTAAACCAAAAAAAATAAATGAAATAGCGATAAGGGATTTGCACAAATAATTTTAATGGGAAAATAGAATTGTAAAGGTTTCCAATTTGGTTACTTTGTATTTATTTTGTCAATGATTTATTTAGTAAATAAACTACTCTATAAGGGCGCTCCAGTCTGCAACACATACCTTTAATGTATTGTATTTTCCAATATGTGGAAATAAGTCATTTGATTTCTTGCTCGTGAATAGACCAACACAAAATAAACACCAGTGGAAGTAGAATGGCAAATTACCCTTTTGGTTTGCAGATCATAAGAAGATTCCTCAATTTCATCATAACAAATGCATAAAACATATAAACTACAAGAGGACCACAATAGTGCAATAAATACTACCCCTACAAGGTTAGGGAATACATTGCACTCACAGACTTAAAGTAGAATAGTAGCAGTGTAAAATATAAGCTGGCAGAACCTTCTTTCTTCTTTTTATCCAATAAGTAATTTTAAAGAATCCACTGTTGTGAGAATGGTTATCCTCTTTAAAAAAAAAAAAAAAAAAAGACTCTCCTTCTGTATTGAGCTAGCTGATACCACTAAGGACATCTAGCAGAGACAGTGCTTGGGCCAGAAGGATGCATAGATTGTTTTTATGTATCTGTCGTGCTTGTGAATACCAAACAGCGGTCTATAGAAGATACACAGGACCTTCCATAAATAAACCTGCACAATGAGAGGCATCTTTTGTTTGTTGTACAAGTTGTTGCGTATTCCCATACGATATTGTGAATGACAAATGATGCAAAAAGGCAAGATTTGGAGGTTAAAGTTCTGCCCATTGCAATATTTTGCCCTAAGCTATCTTTTGATTGCATTGGAATTTCAAATAAATGTATGCAGTCGGATTCTAGATTTCTGTTTTATTTGTTTATCATTAGTTTTTTATTGCAGAGCAAAGTTAGTGTTCTGCCACATTTCCAATCCAGTGTTACTGAACCTACTTAACTTACAAAAAATTAATCACTGGTAAAACTAGACAGACAATCTGCTGTTCAAAGTTCTAATTTATTACAGTAAAACCCTGGCCTACAAAATGTGAACTTAATACCCACTGTCCTTTGTATTCACTTGTTTTACATGTACTATCGTCAGAAACAATAAAGAGAATAAAGTACACACTGTCAGTAATTAACATGTGCAAGAAAAACACAGTATATGTGTACATAAACCAAACAAGTGCAATTAGTGCCAAATTGGGCACAAGCAGACAAAAAACCTTCTCTGTACAAGGTGCAGCTTTCAATGGTATCCCCCAAGACTTGCTCCTGTCTTCCACGAAATATATGCAAAAAATAGGGGATGATCTGCTAAACCATAACAAATGAAAAAAACATAGTGTATAAATGTGTATATGAATTAACCGCAAGTGCTGTATTCACAAATGGCCCCTCACACATTCACTGAAGTTAAAGAACCTTAAAGGATCACTATAGGGTCAGGAACACAAACATGTACTCCTGGCCCTATAGTGTTAAAATCACCATCTAGCCCCTCATGCCTCCATAAATATAGTAAAAATCTTACTGTATCATGCTTGAAGCTGTAACTCTGCAAGCTGTTAGACTCAGAAAAACAAGCGGTCTGCTGACATCATTAGAAGTGGTAGCCTGATCCAATCTCAATGCTTCTCCATAGGATTGGCTGAGACTGACAAAGAGGCAGATCAGGGGCAGAGCCAGCATGATTCAAACACAGCCTTGGCCAATCAGCATCTCCTCATAGAGATGAATTGAATCATTGAATCTCTATGAGGAAAGTTCAGTGTCTGCATGCAGAGGGAGGAGACACTGATTGTTTGGATGCACTTTAGGCAGCCATGACCCAGGAAGGATCTCTAACAGCTATCTGAGGAGAGGCCAGTAAAGTTATCACTAGGCTGTAATGTAAGCACTGCATTTTCTCTGAAAAGAGAGCCTACTCACCAGAACAAATTCAATATGCTGTAGTTGTTCTGGTGACTATAGTGTCCCTTTAAGTATAAATTCCTTCCAAGGATTCAATCTTCCATCGGTATTTAAATCACCATGGATTGGCTGGAGTATATGTGCTCAAGAGCGAAAAAAATAAAAAATCACAATCAAGAGTGTAATAAAAAATCAATTTAATAACTTACATCAAGGTTAAAGGACCACTATAGGCACCCAGACAACTTCAGCTTAATTAAGTGGTCTGGGTGCCAGGTCCATCTAGGTTTAACCCTGCCTGCTGTAAACATAGCAGTTTCAGAGAAACTGCTATGTTTACTTTAGGGTTAATCCAGCCTCTAGTGGCGGTCTCATTGACAGTCGCTAGAGGCGCTTCCGCGCTTCTCACTGTAAAAATCACAGTGAGAAGACGCTGCTGTCCATAGGAAAGCATTGAGAATGCTTTCCTATGGACTGGCTGAATGCGCGCGCGGCTCTTGCTGCGCATGCGCATTCAGCTGATGACGGCCAAAGGAGGAGGAGAGTCCACAGCGCCGAGGGAGCCCGGCACTGGAGAAAAGTAAGATTTTAACCTCTTCCTCCCGCTAGAGCCCGGCGGAAGTGGGACCCTGAGGGCACTATAGTGCCAGGAAAACGAGTTTGTTTTCCTGGCACTATAGTGGTCCTTTAAAAACAATAGGTGGAGTATCTCTGAGTCACCACCAGGGGTCCTACACGTTTCGCCCATGTATAGGACTTCCTCAGAGACTTTGGTAGTGTGCAGTAACAGGATTTAAATGAACCTTGATGTAAGTGATTAAATTGATTTTTTTTTTTATTACACTCTTGATTGTGCACTACAATTTTATAATTTTTTCTCTCTTGAGCACATATACTCCAGCCAATCCATGGTGATTTCAATACAGGTGGAAGATTGAATCCTTGGAAGGAATTTATACTTAAGGCACTTTAACCTCAGTGAATGTGAGTGGCCATTTGTGAATACAGCACTTGTGGTTAATTCATATACAAAGTTATATGCTATGTTTTTTCGTTTGTTATTGGTTTACCAGTAATTAGCATGTGCATGAATCTTGCTAGCAACATTTTTGTTTTCATTTATATCAGGGTCTCAACAAGGTAAAATGAAAAGGGCTCTAGCTCTAAAACGGGCTCAAACGCTATTTGTTGTGTTCACTAAACACTGAAATTGCTACAAAATTCAGCCAATTTTATTCGGTTGGCTGATTTCTCCTATAAAATTCCTCTGTGGTTCAATTTATTCACATTCACCAATTTAACTGAATTGAGCCTACATTGAGCATAATGTGTACCTGCTATTTTCAAATGGCTCTTATATCAGCAGTGAAATTCACAGCAACATGCTAGTCGGATGGTATCTGATGTTCCTGATATATTTAAAGGGACACTATAGTCACCTGAACAACTTCAGCTTAATGAGGTTGTTCAGGTGAGAACTATAGCTCCCTGCAGTCACTCATGTCAAAATACAGTGTTTACATTGAAAGCTAGGAACACCTCCAGTTGCAGTCACTCAAAGTGAACCAGAGGGACTTTGGAGTTGATGGAGGCATAATATGCCTCCATCCATTCAGATCTGCTGTCAGCAGAGCTCAGGGCAGCAGTGTGCACAGCATCCTGTGATTCAGTATCTCCTTCCTCTGCATGCAGACACTGAACTTTCCTCACAGAGATTCATTGATTCAATTCATCTCTATGAGGAGATGCTGATTGGCTAGGGCTGTGTTTGAATCATGCTGGCTCTGCCCCTGATCTGCCTGTTTGCCAGTCTCAGCCGATCCTATGGGGAAGCACTGTGATTGGATCAGGCTACCACATGTCAGCAGACTGCTTGTTTTTCTGAGTCTAACAGCATGCAGATTTACAGCTTCAGGCTTGAATACAGTAAGATTTTTACTATATTTATGGAGGCATGAGGAGGTCCACGGGGGCTAGATGGTGGTGTTAACACTATAGGATCAGGTATACATGTTTGTGTTCCTGACCCTATAGTGATCCTTTAAAAGTCTCTGTTAAAGTAAAAAGTAAGGGGGATTTGGGGTGGGGAAACGGTGACTTAGGTGTAAGAGCAGGGTCAGACTGGGAACTAAAAGCAGCCCTGGAGAGCTATTACTCCAATGTGAAAGAAAGCACTCATAGGACTTCAAAATGGACAAACGTCTGTATTTTAAGCAGACGTGCATTTGCATATAATCAGTGTTCCAGTCCAGCTACCTTGACTTGTTAAGTAAAGTTTAGTAATGGGACTGAAATGGTGAATGTATGCTGTTGCACAACTGTAATAAAAAAGACGTTCTCTTGTTTATTTTGAAGCCCTAGGAGTGCAGTCCATATGAAAGCTTTGGGAGGCTATTGCGCATACGTGGCAAAATGCTGTGTTGCGGCAATCAGTTTCTCCTCAATCAATACATCTCTATGGGGAGCGGTCAGCACCTCCATGCAGAGCGTGGAGACGTTGAACATATGTGCTGCACACTGTGCAGCCCTGGACTAGGAAGTACATATAGTGGCCGTTCCAGTGACTGCTACAAGAGGTGTTCCTAGGCAGCATGTAAAAACTGAAAAGGCACCGTTTACAGTGTTCAGCCTGCAGGGACAGGCTATAGACATCAGAGACCATACATTAAATTGTAATGGGTCTGGTGACTGTAGTGTCCCTTTAATAAGACATGTTTTTTTTTTTTTTTGTCACCTGTTAAAATCAACTTTTCAGTTTAGACTCCTGTGCCAAAAAACTGAGTTACAAGGACAGCAGGATATACAGGCAAAGACGTGTATATAAAAAGGCATCTTCACCTGTTTTTTTCTTAGCCTCCCTTTTGAATTTTTTGCCCACTTTTTGTTTTCTTATCTCCCCTCTTTTTATTGTCTTACCCGCGTTAGTGTATCTTATCTCCAATTTGTGTGTCTTACACTCCTCTTGCGTATCTCTTACAACCCGCTTTGTGTATCATTTCTCTTTTTGCCCTTCTCCCTCTGACTTTTTCCCAACAGTGCATTTTGTGTATTTCTCCCCCAATCCCCTTTTGTGTGTCTCTTAGCCTCAGCCCCTTTGTCTCTCCTCTGTGTGTTTTTCTTCTAGCCCAGCACCTTTGTGTGTTTCTTTCTCCTCCCCAGCCACTTTGTGTGTCTTTTTCTGGCCCAAAGGTAAGCCAGGCCGTCAGGAAATTTCACGGTATACCGGTGGACCAGTCCGGCCCTGGGTACGAGTCTTATAGGTATGGCTTCCATTGCCCAGCTTTGTAGTAAGAGGATTAAATGAAATAAGCTATGTTACATTTAATCTTTTGTGACTAGTCAAATTAGCAAATGTATATGGAAATTTGGCTCATTTTAACAATTTACCAAATGGCAAAGAACAATGAAACAACAGAATTACTCTTATGTAAACAGCTGCATAGGTTTCATGCAGCTTACTGTTTAAACAGCCAAACTTGGAGAATCAGTTGCCATTAGGTGGCTAGGAATAGGCACAAATTTGACAATGGTATGTGTGCCTATTTTGCATATTTAGAACAACATCCTCGTATTGTTTTGGGTGCTGTATGATGACGTTATGTGACACAAGTTATAATAAATTTATATTCATTGATGTAATGTTTGTTTTTCTTTTTCCCTCTGCTGTTGCTGAAGGAATGGCTTTGGCTGGAGTTAGGGTTTTAGAATTAGCTGGCTTGGCACCTGCTCCATTCTGTGGAATGATATTATCAGATTTCGGTGCCCAAGTGATTCGAGTGGATAAAATCAATTCTTCCCACTTCCCAATGGATACTATGGGGAGAGGCAAGAGGTCAATAGCATTAAACCTAAAAAGCTTGAATGGAGTTGATATTCTGAAGAGTCTATGCAAGAAGTCTGATGTCCTTCTTGAACCATTCCGTCATGGTAAGTTGTTTTATTTGAAGATTTTCCTATTGTAGCTACAATTCAGAAGATGAAAAGAAAGATAGTGAACTTTAAGGTAACGCAAACTAACAACCAATGTCTAGAATAATTAGCTACATGGTAAAAGCAAATTAATTGTGTTATTGTGGAAGAATTACTTGTGTTAATTAGGAAACTGACTTGTGTTAATTCTGTGTGTGACAGAAATAAAGATAATACACTTGCTCTTAAAGCGACCCTATAGGCACCTAGTTACCTTTGTCTCAATGTCTCAGTGTTTTCAACCTTGCAACTGAGAACATTGCCGTTTTGCAAGAATGCCCATGCTTACGTTGCTGAATTAACATGCCTCCAGTGACTGTCTTCCTGGCAGCCACTAGAAGCAATTCTGCCCAATAGTTGAGTTAAACTCGACTATTCAATCAGATGGTCTCATAGAGATCATGTGATTGGCACAGCGCACTAGCAGTCCAGCTTTAGAAATACATAGATTTATTTGTACTAGTCAGGCTGACTGCAACTAGAGGCATGGGGATCACAAAAGGAAAACAATACAATTTTTCAGTTATAGAACCTTATCAAATACAAGGCTGTAGGGGCATGATCTATGCTACATAATCGGTTCATTAAGATGATGGAATTTTGTTGTTTACACTGTCCTTTTAAAGTGGTACTCTAGGTACCATAACCACTACAGCATAATGTAGTGGTTACGGTGTTAGGAGTTCCTCCAGTAATCTGTCAAAGTACTTACAAACAGTTTGACACTTTCGTTCCCATGTTGCATGCTTGTAAACAGCAGCTCATGGAATCTCTTTGCCGCTTCTGTGTATTGTATTGCTTATGGTGCCTAGAGCCTAGAGCATCCCTTTAATTTTAAAGAAAAAGAGAGTAAAAGATATTTTGTCATTTCCATTGTTCACAATACTCAATACAGAATCCGGGGTCAGCTAATTACGCCGTTGCAGGCGTTACATCAGCAACACAAACCACACAGTGTCAACTTCTCAAACCTCACTGTTAGAATTGTATAAGCAGTGCCCAAAAAGTACTACATTCCACACTATGCATTTCGAGCTAGAGATAGACACTTCTTCATGGGTATGAATAAACCCACACAAGAACCTTCTTAAATAGGGAGGATCCCACACAATACATTAACTCTTAACTCTAAATACATTAACAAGATATCTGAAGGCAAAGTGGATCTTCTATTTGTAAAGAAGAACCCCTTTATATTAATAATCCTTGAAGTGTTGTCACTTTATAGTTTGTGTCAATTATGCTTAGGACACAATCCTATACATAGTTACATAGCTGAAAAGAGACTTGCGTCCCTCAAGTTTACCCTTCTCCACGTATGTTTTTGCTGTTGATCCAAAAGAAGGCAAAAAACCTAGTCTGAAGCGCTTCCAATTTTGCAACAAACTAGGAAAGACCCCAAAATAGCATTACACCACTAATTAGAAATGATATCCCTTTAGTTCTCTTATTTCTATTGTACTTCTACACTTGGTGCCAAGGATGACTTACACAATTTAACTATAATACAAAATGTGATCTTGAGATTTTCAAGGATAGAGGGTTATTTTCAAATATATTCAATTTTGACATTTTGATTGAACCATTTATAAAGATAAATATATTGGCTTGTTTTCAGGAGTGATGGAAAGTCTAGGGCTTGGTCCTGAGGTCCTACTTAGTGAAAATCCAAAACTAATTTATGCAAGACTAACTGGATTTGGCCAATCTGGAAAATATGCAAGATCTGCGGGCCATGACATCAATTATGTCTCTCTGTCAGGTATATTGAAAAAGTCAGTTGTCTACTCTTTGTTCTTAATGGAATGAAGGCAAACAATTTCATTAATACAAATATAAATTAGAGATTGTAGGTTACCAGTTTTAAGTTTGTGAGAACACTCTATTATAATTTATGATGTGAAACATCAATTCTCCATTCCTTAATAGAAAGAGCTTAGCAGGGGAATAAGCAACAGTACTTAGCTTGATTGATGGGGCAGTGTTCACTGAGCTTTGCCATTGATGATATTGTAAAATATGTTACCAATGGGTTAACTATCATGAGCAACATAGTGCGAAGTTTACCCATCATTGATAAGAGACTTTAACCCCTTCACTGTGTTAGGATGTTCACAGAGTGGGCTTTAATGCTGATAGGGTACCATGGAAAGTACAAATATTTTGGTGTGAGAAGGAGTAAAGCCCTGCTCACATCAGGGAGTCCCAGATACCAATAGGCCCTTCCCTATTCTGTCATCTGGGGCTTTTTTTAGTGAGAGATGTGCTGCATACAGAGCTCAAAGTGACAAACAATACAGCCTGTTAAATCTGGATTTTAATCTACATAAACTAAAAAACGGTGTGAGCAGGCTTAAATCTCTACTCAAACCAAGATACCCAGGTATCAATAGGTACCTGGTGTAGCGTACCTTGGGTAAGTCAGCTGGTTACCTCCACTATTAATAAAAGGACAGACCCATTTCCCTCCCAGTAACTGGATGACACATAGTTCCAGGGGTACAACAACTTTTTTGATTGGCCACACACAGCTTTATACTTTCCCCATGCAAGGGGTGGAACACACCTGAAGACAATGGACCCTCCCAGGGTCCTCCCCTGCCCGGTAGTCGTATAACGGAACCGGAACCCAAGTCCCTTTGTCCCCTGTTCCCGCCACTCAGACCCAGGGCCCTTCCTCTGCCCAGGGTTTTCTTCCAAGAAGTCTCTGTATCTGGGGGTCGAAGCGCTTGGAACTTCCCGCCTCTTTACCTCCCAGTGACAGAGAGCCTGACATCCTCTGCCATTGTCCCAAAAGAATGTCCCCACCAATCTTAGGGACCCCCCAGACTGGTAACCACCATGAACAGACACCGTTTGTGGGGTTCCTTTGTGGAACCAGGCAAGGGAAGCGTCTCCTTTCGGAACATGGATGCTCCCCCTGGCCGACGTTCGCCTATACGAACGGCGGTCACCCAGAGAGGCACTCATTACTTCCCTTGCGATTTAACACTATGTTGCGAGTTGCCAATGTTCTAATTGATTGGTGTGAACATTCCAATGGGGGCTGAGGAGGTCCTCGTTTGGGAACCAATCCGCGAATGCTCCCCCTGGATGGCGGTCGTCTAATGAACGTGCTTACACCCAGGGGAGGCACGCGCCAAAGCTTGCCTTGCGGTGTTGACACCTCATTATGAGATGCAAACATTCTAAAACTACATTCTAAATGGGATTTCTTGATGGTCCTCTTTCGGGAGGTGAATGGAGTCCCATTTGTGGCGGTACTCTCGAATGGGGAGCAGGTATTTCTACAAACACAACAAATAAAACACAGGGTCAAGATAGGGAAAACACACGAAAGGGATGTCATGACAGTAACACACACTGCAGAGTAACCGGGGCAGTTCACAGTTTAGCGGGGCTTCTGCTACACACCTGGAATTCCCCTTTGCCAGCTGGGGCCATTTTAATCAGACTGACAAATGCGCTAAATGCAGAACTCAAAGTGATTGCTGCTACAGCCATTTAAATACATTGAGAACACTGCGTCTGCACAGATCGCACTCCGCATCTGTGTTTCTGGGCTGGCAGGGGCTCAAAGAAGATCCTCTGCCAGCCCAGAAACACAGCGGTCTGGGATATGACTGTAATGCTGAAAACAGACGGTGGCAACATACCATTCTCTACTGGTTTAACTAGAAAACCCATCTGCCGATATTAGTACTATTAGCAGAGTGTTTCTTTAGGGTAGGTGTTTGTTGTAGGGCTATGTAAGGGCTAATGCTGGGTTGGGGTTAAGGAGTGTTGGGTTAAAGTTAGGGGTAAGTTTAGTGCAGGTATACAGTTAGTGTGAATTTGGGGTTAAGGTTGGTATAACTATAGGTGGGTTGGTATAATATTAGCATTAAAGGGACACTCCACACCCCTAAAGCACTTTAGCTTGCTGAAGTGCTCTGTGTGAAGAGTGTGTCCTATTGTTTTAATTTTACTAAAAGTGCAGATTTCATTAGAAATTAGCACTATCATAATTTAACCTTGTTACACCCCGTGACTGGCAATCAGATAACCGGTCCTGCTACTTCCTGGTGGAGCTAAACTCAAGAGACAGCAATTTCTCAGAGTACCTGACTTACAAAGTCTTCTCATTGAGCTGCTTTGAGAAGTCTGTGATTGGACAACCACAGAATGTCTGGGCGGGGTTAGAAGGGGAGAGCTACCAAAAATGTATTTAGATCCTAGACACATGAGGCATTTAACAATCAGGATGTGAATACATTGGAGCTCTTTTTATTTAGTTGCACTGGATGTGTAAAAAATTATATAAACAAAATTTCTAAAAAAAAAAAGGCATTTTTCCCCAATTGTTTAGATCTTAATATGCTGTGTTAGGTATACATATAGGATATTAAAAGTCAGCCCTTTCTGTCATTTAAACAGATAGAGATATATATATATATATATATATATATATATATATATATATATATATATATATAATCTCTATTATAAAAATTCTCTTATTAACAGCGTTGACATTGTTATTGTAACGTTCAGAAGGAACCCTAACACACAGACAGGACAGAGTAGAGAGAATTGCAATACCGATCCTTAGAATGGTCGGGTTATGCAAAAAGTCAAAACACGAGCCGAGGTTAAGGGAAACAGAGAGATGGAATAACGAGAGACAAAACCAAATATCAGTAACCAGGAAATCCAAATAACAAGTGCAACGCTCAATGGTAAACCAATGACCACAACAGGGCACTGAGGCAAAGGAGAGGTTAGCTTATATACACACAGGGTGTATCTGATTGGCTAACCTCCAATTAGTGTTAACCACAACACGTGGGAGGAGTTTCTTCCCTCCCTTGTGGTCTCTGAGGTCATCACTGTGTGCCAGGTCACATGACCAGATGCAGCACACACATATAAGGAAGCTGCTCTGGAACGTGCAGCGTCAGATACACTGCCAGTCTGGAGACGAGGACCAGAAGACGCAGCAATGTCGCCGCAAGCGGCGCGATGGTAGGGGACCTGACAGTTATAAAAATCTCAAGGTAAAATATACAATGCAGTTTTCAGTTAATATAGGTCATCAATCTTTAAGGTATCTGGAGTGTTCACATTGAAAAACAGCAGCTTTAGAGCTTTCATACCTAAGTGGAAGTTTCCCAGAATTAAACTTGGAATGATTTTTCAACAAGGATTTTGTGCACATTGTTGAGGAAATATAGGGGGGGAAATAATCTCTTTTGTAGTTCTACTTATTACAGTGATGAGTGTTCTATACCAGTTTGCAGCATCTTTGTGGGCTTTGATTTAGTCTAGTGATTGAGAACTTGAACCAAACCGTAACTTTATTGACATACCGGATAGGAAGTGTATTACTGGTCATTACGGGTGTCTGGGCTTAACTCAAAAACGGACAAGAGCATAGTCCCAGTATAGCCAAGATCAAGGACTAGAGATGTGTGCATGTAAACGAGAGAGAGCGGAGTCAGAGGATAGCAGAGAGCAGGAGTGTCAAGACTGTTGGTCAGAATACCAATAAATCACAATAAACCAGGAACACTCTATTAGGTTCTACGGAGACCACAACAAGGCACTGGCTACTTATTAAATCGGGCTTTTATAGGATTTCAGAAAGTGAAACTGTTTGCATCATTCCTGCACAGCCAAAATGTATGTGAGCATTAACAAGGACGCAAAGCCACGTATACTTAATCATTATTTTGACTCACAGAGGTTGTGCCATAAATTGACTCTGAGACGAAGTATAAATGACAGCATGATGGATGCCAGAATGGTGCTGGACTGAGTGTAGGATGCCAAAGTGACATGGAGGCTGGAGGACAGGGCAGGAGTGGGCAATTACCTGTAAAGAACTGAGACATCCCAGCCAGCAACCTTTCACTTTTTTCTTCTATTTCTATGGGGAAATTAATGCATGTCAATGAGACATGTGTACACAGAAATCCAATAGAAGCAGCAGTAGATTCACTTTAGTGAGAGCTCTTCAAAGTGAACTGTGAAGACGTCTATGATTACCATACATTTCAAAGTAAAAACACTGCACTTGTACCCTATTGGTAAATCTAGACTTGTAATAAAATTAGTTGGTATAGCTAAGCTGGAATGCAATCACTACCTTAGTAATACCCCATCGAGGGAAAGTATTTAAAAAGGTTGACACCAGGGGACTCCAAGCATAATTTAAGAATAATTTAATAATTTAAATATGCTATTTTTTAATCAGCCTATGATGGACGAGGTGCATGTACTCTTAATTAGCAGTTCTAGGTTACAGAATTACAACTAGGAAGTGATTTTTCTCACTTTCTATATACAGGAAGGTAATAATACCCTGAATGTAAGATTAGACTTGCCAAATAATATATTTATACCCGTATAGCTTTGAATTGATCCATTTAGGCCATTTTTGGATTATCCATATAGTTTGGTTAAGCAAAGTCTTACTCAATACTTTTCTTCTATATTGCTTCTCAATCTTTAGGTTTGCTATCGAAGCTTGGAAAGAAACATGAGAACCCCGTGTCACCCCTAAATCTACTTGCTGACTTTGCTGGTGGGGGTGTTATTTGTGCATTAGGAATTACAATGGCTTTGTTAGAACGGGTACAATCAGGACAAGGGCAGGTGATTGATTCAAGTATGGTAAGTGGTTTCTATGTGGCTGGTTTATCTTCATTACTATTATGCTGGCAAATACAATTGTATACAAATATAAAGTTTAAGAAGATGTTCTGGATTCCTTACACTTCAGCATTTGCATGACCAGTTCTGTTAATGTTAGAAATCTAAGTCTGTGGCGTTCAACCACTGAGATCCAAAGAGCAGTCTCCTGTGTTGTGTGGATATCCTCTTTCATTATCTTTGTCTATTGTTTAATCAGGTGCATGTTCTCCAAACACCATAGCTTTTATCAACCCATTATTTCTGACTTGATCCAGCAGATTTTCCAGTTCTTTGCTCCAAGGTTTTCAAATCACTGATGCTGATTTGTTAGAGGCACACAGTGATATATAAATGCCAATACAACTCTGAATTCATATACACTGGCATCATATTACCCATGTATTAATACACAGAGACTAAGCACAAATACACTCCTGCATTCACACCACTCTTCTTCTCAATACAACCCTGCATTTACACAAAACTCCGCACAAATACAACACTGCATTTACATAGACTGACTTATATATAGGTATACTTTTACTAGTCATTTTAAAATAACTAGTTACTGTACTAGCCCTAGAAGGGGCAGTCCCTGTATAATCTATACTAGTCCTAGAAGTGGCATGTTCTGTATAATCTTTACTAGTCCTAGAAGGGGCAGTCCCTGTATAATCTTTACTAGTCCTAGAAGGGGCAGTCCCTGTATATAATATTTACTAGTCCTAAATGTGGCATATCCTGTATAATCTGTACTAGTCCTAGAAGTGGCATGTCCTGTATAATCTGTACTAGTCCTAGAAGGCATGTCCTGTATAATCTTTACTAGTCCTAGAAGTGGCATGCCTAATATTATCTGTACTAGTCTTAGAAATGGCATGTCCTGTTTAATCTGTACTAGTCCTACACATGGCAAACTATGTACAATCTGCATCAGTACTAGAAGTGGTATGCTCCATCTGCACCAGTTGTAGCAGTGACATGTTCTGTATAAACTTCACATCTTTTGACATTCGCTTCTAAAAAAAAAAAAAAGAGTTAAAATAGTCCCAGAAGTTTCAAATTGTGCGAAAGATTGTGTAATGACTTCAACACTAAAGGACAAACAGTAGATAATAGATAAAGGATTGATAATGGAAAATGGGAGCATGTGTAATGACTTTTAGCAAAGTTTGAAGCATAGTATATAGAGTGAATTATGTAAAATGGGAAGGGTTATTATATATTGTTAAATATAAAAATGAATGTCAGTCTTGGTTGTGTAAGTAGTCTGTAAGAAATCTGTAGCGCATAAATTCTGAATTCCTCTCTTTAACCCCTTAAGGACACATGACATGTGTGACATGTCATGATTCCCTTTTATTCCAGAAGTTTGGTCCTTAAGGGGTTAAATTGCTTCAACGGTACAAATAATCACAAGACATACAGCAGTGTAATTGCAGCTTTCCTACTGATAAATGTGTCTGTTCAGAACCATGTGGTTTTATGCATGTTCTCTGTTACTGCATATCACATTTTCTTAGTAAAAAGCTGTTCTCCCATGTGGTTACTTTGGGTTTTTACGCTTATATGTAACATCTTTCTGTAATATGTAATTGCTTTCCACTTTTTTGTAATGGACAGTTTGACAGGTCTTGGATAACTTGTGAGTGCCATTTTATTCATGAAACCGATGATCCCTTACATGTAGGCTTTGAAGAACTCATAAATAATTCCTTGTAGCCCTCTTATGCTTCATTGGAATATGACACATTTTATATGCCTTTGTGGGATTTGTGTTTGTGTCAAGGTCATGATTCACCCGTAGAAATCTGACTTAATTGACATTTGATAACCAAAAGGTTTTGATTCCTGAGTTACTGGGTGAAAGTTAACAAGAAAAAAGTAAGTCACGGTACAAGATTTAACTTTGATCCATTGTACAGCGCTACGGAATTTGCTGGCGCTATATAAATAATAAAATAATTATTATAATTAAGTAATACAAAGTTGTAAAATGCGTGAGCAAAAGAGGTGAGATTGTTCTTGCCTTATTGAAGGGAAAGGGCAAACTATTCAGATCTAGTTACAGCTAATACTATTGCCATAGATCCAGAGCCAGCTTACAACATTTAACTCTTTTCAGACATCCTAAGTCTCCCAGAGGTTCTGGGAGCCCCCCTGCATTTTTTTTTTTGTTTTAAATAGGTTTGTAAAAGAGAATATAACATCAGTTTTGTCCTGCGCAGAGGACGCAAAGTAAACACATTGGTGATACCGTTCAGAGAGAAATAAAGCATCCAGTGATAGGAAAAACTGATGTAACTGCCTTAGATGCTAATTGGGATATTCAGTGATCAATTCACCTCTATTGATGAACGAGTAAACATGCTGAGATGTCACCTGCAAAATCTGCCATACCTGTAGTCTCCTGTATTTTTAATGCGGCTCTCTGACACCCGCAAATCATTTACAATATCCTGTGCGTGTATCTCTGTGTTAAGGTGTTCATACATGTTTGGTGGCTGCGTGTCTGTGGGGGGGTGGGAGGGAGGGCAGTAGCTATTGAAGCCACCTCCCTGAAATACATTTTTGTGTGTCGGGATGTTGTATCAAAGTGGAACAGTGTCAGGAAGATTGTGTGTAATTTCCTAGCACACAAACCGTCATTGCATCTCACTGTGCTCAATTTGAGAGGGGGCTTACACAGGATACATACACATAGGGTACCAGGACACAGGGAACAATTATCAAATGGATGCTGAGGAGTCCCTTGTTTTTTTTTCTCAAATTGCTCTAAAATGGTTTGACATAAAATGGGAGATGGTACCAAACAAATCAGATCTCCATACCTACTATGATTAGCTGAAGTGATAATGATGCTTGGAGAGACGTATTTATATGATAACTCCATTTATCATGTTAATAGTAACTCAACTTGAAGGCAATCTGTCACTTCCCTTTTTTAGTATTATGTTTACTTATCCCTCTATTTTGAAAATAATCTTTGCGAGGTGTGAAAACCAAAAAAATGTATTTAGAAATCCACAATGTTTTATCCTGTAAGTGGGTGCCTCCATCTTAGCTTCCTGTCAATCATTATCAGCTCTGTCCTGGCAATCAGCATAAAGAAAGCATAAAGAAAGCATAAAGAGAAGATGAGAAATGAAACAATGTTTTTATTTCTCCTCCTCATTTGCAATGTTTGCCCTGGCTGTGCCTTGTCTGAGCTGTATTATTTTATTTGCTAAATCTAAAATTATTTATGAATTTATAAGAAAATAGCATCTCGCCAAATTTGAGAGAAATAGGCCTTTTGTGAACATGGAAAAAAGTCTTAGATCTTTGAATTCAGCTCATGAAAAATGGGGGCAAAAACAAAAGTTGCGTTTATAATTTTGTTCAGTAAAACATGTTTGATGAGCATTTTTCTCTAGTTACAAGTGTGATGAGGTTTGTTTGTGGCTTAGTTGTTAGCAAAAAAGGTCAATGATCAAATCATGTCTTTGTCTGCTCTAAACCCCCACCTCTTGGCAGTGCGTTATCACAAATAAAGGGACATTTATAATCACTCAGACCACTTCATCTCAGAGGTCTAGGTGCAGTGTCCATATCCCACTTAGTTCTGCTATGTAAATCATTGCAGTTTTGGAAAAAACTGCAATAATTACATTGCAGGACTAAGGCTGCCTCTAGTGGCTGACAATCATACAGGAGGAACTTCCTGCTTGCTAACTGACTTTAGGTTGTACGTTGGACGTACTCACTCTATGCATGAGGATATCCAGCGTCAGGGAAATTCCCCTAGGAAAGCATTGAAGCAAATCCAGAATTATCTGTAGCGCCAAGGATAACCATCAGTAAACTTCATTATTGAGTTTACTTTTATAGTTGTAAAAATTAATCTATTATTCATTTATTTATATTTTTAAATTATGATATATAGTAAAAAGGTTGAAGAAATACCCCAGTCCATTAAAGGATCATTTAAAGCACCATAACCACTACAGTCCCTGTAGTGTCTGTGGTGCCATGATTTCCCTGGCACTTTGCCTAGGTAACTTGTCAGTACGGTTAAAATGGTTTGACAACTTACTTGGGTTCCTCTGGGCAACTATTGCTTCCTCTGTAGATACTAGAAGCTGCTCTGGGAGAATACCAGGGCTATCCTAACACCATAACTATTACAGTGGGCTGTACTGGTCATAGAATTTGGATGGTTTTATAAAGTCCAAACTTGGATCAACAATCTTTTTATCCACAAGTGGAAGGCATATGCCTGAAATTGTGGGAGGGGTTATTTGCCCTATTTAAACCCTGAATACCCCCTGCCTACCTGTCATCACCGTTTCAGAAGTGCTTCTGTTCTGCTTCCTGTTTGCAAAGACTCTGACATCATTTCTGCCTGCCGGCTGTCCGTGCAAACACAGCCATCCAAGTTGTTCGAATGAAAACATTTTGGGGGCGTGGTTGCCTACCTAATTGAATACGGTATTTAAAGAGAAACTAGGGAGAGACTCATTGCCCTGTTGTGGTTCTTGTTTGACCCAAGAGCGCATATTCATTATTGGTATTCTTTTATTCTGACTTCGTTCCTAAATTCTGGTATCCCTGACCTCGGCTCGCTATTTTATTCTTTGTGTGTAGTGTTAGTCCGGCCATCCTAAGGTCCATTATACATTACTAGTATTTGCATTCTGCGTGTAGGATCCCCGAACGTTCCTGACATTGCAACAGGGCCTTATGGATCCGACAGGTGTAAATACTCAGGTAGGCCCATACGACAAACCTGTGCTCCCTCCGTGACTCCTCAATATGGAGGACTGGAGGTAGATATTGTAGGGGCCTTGTCCCATGTCAAACCACCCCTATGGTGGAGCATCAGAAGCTTGTCAGGGTTTTTTAAACCAAATAAGCATCCCCTTTGAGCTCCAGCCACAATCCTATCTTACCGATAGAGCCAAGGTAGGATTTTGTTATACAACCTCTGGTGTATAATTACGTTGCTTTCATCAAAGCATTTAGATGTACTTTTGACCCTCCAGGTAGAAAGGCCAGTGCAGCCAGGTATCTGCTCAGACTTAAGCAAGGAACCAGAACCTTGGTAGATTATGCTCTAGAATTTCGGTCTCTAGCATCGAAATTGCTTGGAACAATCAGGCATTTGTTGATGTGTTTCTTAATGGTCTCCCTAATGTTATAGCTACTAGAGATATTCCAGAGAACCTTGATGAAATTATAACATATATATCACTCATAGACGAACGCCTGAGATACAGACAAAATACTAGAGATAGACCTAGAAGAAATTCTATTTGTATGGCACCTGTATTGAATAATCCTAACTCTCACACTTGCTTTACAAGAATCTATGTAAGTAGGGGTGACTAGAATAAGTGAAGCAGAGAGACAATACAGAAGAAGGGACAAAGGGGTCATCTTTGCCTTAATTACCCTAACAGGTCGGAAAACTCTCACACCTAAGTCCACAAGGGGGACAGGTCTTGGGTGATTCTTTTGTGTCTTCTACTAATGCTCATAAGGAGCACCGACTTCTGGCTCACATTGTCTTAGCTTGGGACAATAAGAGGGTTAATACCTTGGAATTAATAGATTCTAGCGCAGCTGAGAACTTTATTGACCAGGATTTTGCTTTCTAAGTTAAGAAATATGCCATTAGCCGTTGAAGCCATAGACGGTCGACCCCTCCAGGTACCTATGATCACGCAAGAATCCATTCCAGTTATCCTAATAATGGGTGTGTTGCATAAGGAGGTCTGTGTATTCCAACACATTACTTCTCCTACCTTCCCAGTAGTATTAGGATATCCCTGGTTAAGGAAACACAACCCATCTATCAACTGAGAAATTGTCTCTTGGGGTAAGAATTGTCTGGAGAATTGTATCACCAAATTACCTCCCATTAGTCTTACTAATGTACATAATATATCCACTTTGACCAACAAAATACCTGAACAGTATTTAACGGTGAAATACGTTTTTGACCAAGGCAGAGCTGAATTATTACCACCTCATAGACCATATGATTGTGCCATTAACTTGATTCCTGGAACTATACCCTCTTGGTGTGAAAGCGAATCAGGTCTTAGAAGAATATATTGAAGAAAACCTGAAAAATAGTTTTATTAGGAAGTCTTCTTCACCAGCTGGTGCAGGATTTTTCTTTGTGTCAAAAAAGGAAGGGGATCTCAGACCTTGCATAGATTACAGAGGATTGAATAGGATTACTGTATATAATTGTACAGAATAAAGTGACTAGCGCACATAAATAGATATGTTTACCTTAAAAGATATCTAATACAGGTTCTTTCTTAGAAGTTTATTTTTTTGCCTATATTAAATTGAACTAATACATATAGTGTAAGCTGTATTTAAACAAATATTATAAATAAGAGTTGTCGGCAAACTCACAATTTTTAGAGCCTATTATAAATTGGCTCTGGATTTGTGGTGCATTTCATATCACTTCTGGAGATTTGTAAATAGAAATTCAGCAGTCACACCCACAGGAACTCGATGGTTTAGTGCAGGCATAGGCAACCTTCGGCACTCCAGATGTTTTGGACTACACCTCCCATGATTCTTTGCCAGCATTATAGGTGTTAGAGCATTATGGGGGGTGTAGTCCACAACAAATGCAGTGCCTATCCCTGGTTTAGTGTAACAAAGATTCCAGGGTCCAAGGTGGAAATTCAAAGTAAATATTTTATTTGACTTTAGTAAAAGTATAAAGAATAATAAAAGCACAACGCGTTTCAACCTATATAAGGTCTTCCTCAGGTGCAGGTATCTCATATACAGAATACTGTATGTAATGCCTATCCAATACCCTTGATAACTGAGTTATTTGACAGGCTGAGAAGGGCTAAGATTTTTACCAAGATAGACTTGAGAAGTGCTTACAATCTTATTAGAATCCGTATAAATGATGAATGGAAGATCGCCTTTAACACCAGATATGGGCATTCCGAATACACGGTTCTGTCTTTCAGATTATGTAATGCCCTTTTTGCTGTTTGTGGTCTTCCAAGACCTAATTAATGACGTACAGGGAGTGCAGAATTATTAGGCAAGTTGTATTTTTGAGGATTAATTTTATTATTGAACAACAACCATGTTCTCAATGAACCCAAAAAACTCATTAATATCAAAGCTGAATATTTTTGGAAGTAGTTTTTAGTTTGTTTTTAGTTATAGCTATGTTAGGGGGATATCTGTGTGTGCAGGTGACTATTACTGTGCATAATTATTAGGCAACTTAACAAAAAACAAATATATACCCATTTCAATTATTTATTATTACCAGTGAAACCAATATAACATCTCAACATTCACAAATATACATTTCTGACATTCAAAAACAAAACAAAAACAAATCAGTGACCAATATAGCCACCTTTCTTTGCAAGGACACTCAAAAGCCTGCCATCCATGGATTCTGTCAGTGTTTTGATCTGTTCACCATCAACATTGCGTGCAGCAGCAACCACAGCCTCCCAGACACTGTTCAGAGAGGTGTACTGTTTTCCCTCCTTGTAAATCTCACATTTGATGATGGACCACAGGTTCTCAATGGGGTTCAGATCAGGTGAACAAGGAGGCCATGTCATTAGATTTTCTTCTTTTATACCCTTTCTTGCCAGCCACGCTGTGGAGTACTTGGACGCGTGTGATGGAGCATTGTCCTGCATGAAAATCATGTTTTTCTTGAAGGATGCAGACTTCTTCCTGTACCACTGCTTGAAGAAGGTGTCTTCCAGGAACTGGCAGTAGGACTGGGAGTTGAGCTTGACTCCATCCTCAACCCGAAAAGGCCCCACAAGCTCATCTTTGATGATACCAGCCCAAACCAGTACTCCACCTCCACCTTGCTGGCGTCTGAGTCGGACTGGAGCTCTCTGCCCTTTACCAATCCAGCCACGGGCCCATCCATCTGGCCCATCAAGACTCACTCTCATTTCATCGGTCCATAAAACCTTAGAAAAATCAGTCTTGAGATATTTCTTGGCCCAGTCTTGACATTTCAGCTTGTGTGTCTTGTTCAGTGGTGGTCGTCTTTCAGCCTTTCTTACCTTGGTCATGTCTCTGAGTATTGCACACCTTGTGCTTTTGGGCACTCCAGTGATGTTGCAGCTCTGAAATATGGCCAAACTGGTGGCAAGTGGCATCGTGGCAGCTGCACGCTTGACTTTTCTCAGTTCATGGGCAGTTATTTTGCGCCTTGGTTTTTCCACACGCTTCTTGCGACCCTGTTGACTATTTTGAATGAAACGCTTGATTGTTCGATGATCACGCTTCAGAAGCTTTGCAATTTTAAGAGTGCTGCATCCCTCTGCAAGATATCTCACTATTTTTGACTTTTCTGAGCCTGTCAAGTCCTTCTTTTGACCCATTTTGCCAAAGGAAAGGAAGTTGCCTAATAATTATGCACACCTGATATAGGGTGTTGATGTCATTAGACCACACCCCTTCTCATTACAGAGATGCACATCACCTAATATGCTTAATTGGTAGTAGGCTTTCGAGCCTATACAGCTTGGAGTAAGACAACATGCATAAAGAGGATGATGTGGTCAAAATACTCATTTGCCTAATAATTCTGCACTCCCTGTATTACGTGACTTCCAGCAAGAGTGTGTGATGGTGTATCCTAATATACTCAAAGGATAAAGAAACACATAAACAGATTAACGAAGTAGTGTCTTGAATTTTACAACATATTCTATTTTGTAAGTTAGAGAAATGTCTTTTTGACCAAACTGAAATTTGTTTTCTGGGTTATGTAATCTCGGAGACAGGATTCGCTATGGATCCCAGTAAGTTGGACTCCATACTCAAATGGCCACTACCTAATGGCCTTAAAGCAATTCAAACATTTATTGGTTTCTGAAACTACTATTGACGATTCATCAAGGGGTTTACGTCCATAGTAGCACCCATAACGAATCTGACTAAAAACTGTAAAAATCACAAAAAATGGTCTGATGAAGCTCTTCAGGCATTTGTAGATCTCAAAAGGTCCTTTTCTTCCGCCCCAATACTAGTCCATCCTGATCTGAAAGGAGGTATGATATTGAAGATAGGGAATTCCTTGCTATTATTTTGGCATTGAAGGAATGGCGCCATCTATTAGAAGGTACTCCAACTCCAATAACTATACTTACAGACCACAAGAACCTCTCCTATATTGGAGAGGCCAAACATCTCTCTGCCAGACAAGCTTGTTGGTCTCTTTTTTTGACCAGGTTTAACTATGTGCTAACACATAGACCTGGGTCAAAAAACTCCAAGGCTGATGCGTTGTCCAGCCAGTTAAAACCTCTTGCATGTCCTGGGACCAGTATGACTTCTATAGTTCCTCAGCAAAGTATTATTGCTAATACTAGAATAAATATACAGACTCCACTGGCTTTGGACATTTATTCCAAACAAAACCTTGCTCCTAAGAATCTTCCTAAGGGGAAGATCTACGTTCCTCCTGAACACTAGAAACAGTTATTGTTTTGTTTCCTTGATAGTAAAATCGCAGGTCACTTAGGTATATGCAAAACCTTCAATTTGATTTCAAAGAAATACTGGTGGTCGACTATGCATAAAAACATCACGGATTATGTTTCCACTTGCTGCATATGTAACAGAACCAAACTGTCTCATACTCTCCTTTGTGGGTTACTGCAACCTATCGACATACCCAATAAACCTTGGGCAAGCATTGCCATGGATTTCATAGTTGAATTGCCTATGTCTGAGAGAATTACTGTAATTCTAACAGTAGTAGACAGATTCACGAAAATGACACACTTCATTCCATTACCTAAGTTGCCTTCCTCTCCGGAATTGGCTAAAGTCTTTGCTAAAGAGGTATTCCGTATACATGGTATACTCCAAGAAATTATCTCTGACAGAGGTTCTCAATTTGTGTCCAAATTATGGAGAGCATTTTTTGTTCAGAGATGGACATTTCACTTAAATTCTCGTCTACCTATTATCCTCAAACTAACAGAGCAGCAGAAAGAGAAAGGTCTAATCAGAGAGTAGAACAATATTTACGTTGTTTTGTCTCTGCTCACCAAGATGATTGGGTTGGCTTGCTTCCTTGGGCTGAGTTTGCTCTAAATAATGTGATTTATGATGTGACTCAACAAACTATGGTTTTCACCCTGTGGTCAATAATTGCAAGCCCATGAATCGTCTCTTGATAAAAAGCATGCAGATAGGCGTAGACTTGATGCCCCTGTATATTACCCGGGTGATAAGGTCTGGTTGAGTACTAAATATATCCGCCTTAACCCCTTACTGACACATGACGGAAATATTCCGTCATGATTCCCTTTTATTCCAGAAGTTGTGTCCTTAAGGGGTTAAAGTCCCGTCTATGAAATTTGCACAGAGATTCATTGGTCCATATAAGGTCAACCCTGTGGCGTATTGTATTGAATTGCCTCACTCCTTTCGCATCCCCAATGTTTTCCACGTATCCTTATTGGAACCATGTAACATGTTCACTAGTCCTGTGGCACCCCCTTCTCCGGTTCAGGTTTAGGACCAGGAGGAATTTGAGGTCAGTGCTATCCTGGACTCCTGGATTTTTAGGGGTACTGTCAATATTTGGTGGACTGGAAGGGAATACGGTCCTGAGGACAGGTCCTGGGTGACTGGTTTTGACATTAATGCTCCCCGCTTGGTCCGTTCATTCCACTCTATGTTTCCAAACCACCCTGGCTCTTCCTGCCCTGTGGTCAGTCCTCGAGGGGGGGTACTGTTAGGTTACCTTGTGTATCAGTCAGGGGGATGTCACAGGCTGGCATCACATTGCAGGGTATTGGGGACACTCCTACCAACTTTCAGCTTGTCCCCAGCACTTCTCACGCCAGCCGCGATAACCCTGCCTCAGTTTATGATGCGGCTAATGAGCGCCAACGTCATGATGCTAAGAACACCACGGCCCGCCAAGATGTTCTAACAAGAACATTTTGGGGGGCGTGGTTACCTACCTAATTGAACACGGTAGTTAAAGAGAAACCAGGGAGAGACTCATTGCCCTGTTGTGGGTTCTTGTTTGACCCAATAGCGCGTATTTCGTATTTGTATACTTGTATTCTGACTTTGGCTTTGTTTGACTATTCTTTGTGTGTAGTGTTAGTCCACCCTTCTTAAGGTCCGGAATACATTAATAGTATTTGCATTCTGCGTGTAGGATCCCTGAACATTCCTGACACAGGTCTAACCTCTGGTTTCGGCACACCTCAACCGACTTTTGTTCTTACCAAACTACATACTTTTAATTATATGTTCTATCATAACCCATACATAAGTGGAAGGCATATGCCCAGTAACCCCCAATAACTCCTGCTTACCAGTCGTCACCGTTTCAGAAGTTCCCCTCCCACCTCACCCTTTATTATTCATATTAATATACCAGGTGGGCCCTCTTTATTGCAGGTCTAACCTCTTGTCGGTTTTGGCACACCTCAACCGACTTTTGTTCTTATCAAACTACATACTTTTTATTATACATTCTATCATTACTCTGCACACAAATATTACTTATATCTTGTTTATCTTTATTATGCAGGGAAAGCATAATTCTTACTTTGGAGTCAAAAATAATTGTTTTGCATTCTTTTTAATGTATTCTATGAATAATTAAATGAATAGAGGGTCTGCCTCCCCCCCCGTAGTTTCCCTTTAACCCCTTAAGGACACATGACATGTGTGACATGTCATGATTCCCATTTATTCCAGAAGTTTGGTCCTTAAGGGGTTAACGATATACCATGGCACAATAACTACTTCAAGTGAAGATCTCCAGAGAGATTCAACAGAGTATCAAGATAAATGTATAACCTCATAAATACAGCAAAGTGCATATTGAATTTTTGTTCCTTAACTTTGTTGATATAGTTGCTTGGATATTAACTGTGTATCTGTATTCATTCCCATTGCTCTGTGTTTATGAAGCGCAATACGAATGCAAAGTTCTAATTGTGGACTAATCATCATAGAAATCAATCAAGAATGGTGCTCGCTGGTGGACGTCATTCTAAAATGGTTACATGGGTGGACTACAGCATGCTATAGTGGTCATGGTGCTGGAAGTTTTCTTTTAATATCTTATAGTATTTCATAAAAGTTATATTTTAATGTAAAACATTTCAGTTCTGTGTTAATGTGATCCACAATATTTGCTTATTTTTATCTGTAGGTTGAAGGAGCAGCTTATCTTGGTTCTTTTGTATGGAAATCTCAAAAACTGGGTCTGTGGAGTAGATCAAGGGGAGAGAATCTACTCGATGGGGGAGCTCCTTTTTATTGCACATACAAAACTTTGGATGGAAAGTATATGGCAGTGGGTGCTCTTGAACCACAATTCTACAAGGAACTGTTGAATGGTAAGTTGTAATAATCTAATTTATATTTCAGTCAGTATAGATATCAGATACGGGTCCTTGGTTTGTGGCCACACAATCCTATACACTCATTAGCTTTCCATATATGGTCTCACTATTCATACCACCTCCATTCACACAGCATCATGTGTAGCAAAAATGAAACCCTGAGCAATATTCAGACCCAGTTTCTTCTTAGGTCATGTCTCCACCATTATCTGCTACCCCAGGCCAGTCCTGAGAAGCGTGATAGCAGAATCTTGCTTGCTGTATTTTAATAGCCTGCTCATGCACTTACTAAATTCATTTTATTGGACACTTGACCTGTTGTAGCTTGAAAGTAGTCAATTACATCTGTTGGTGACTTCAGTCAATTACATATACAGATCTCTTCTTTTTCTCTCTCTCTCTCTCTCTCTCGCTCTCTCTTCTTTCTCTCTCTCTACAGTGTCCCTTTAAGAATTCTATGTTTTGTTGTTGAAAATAAAGTTTTGTAGTTTAGAAAACAACAAACAAAACTGGCTCCTAACTTTTTTAGCTGGTCTAGATTAAAGCATATTGGAGGTAGCATCTTTATAGGTGGGCTACTAATTGCTGCCATCTTACTTGTGCGGACTTCAATGGAAATATTGGTGTACTATATGAAATTTGATATATATGAAAGTCATGCTTTAGTGTCCCTTTTAAACACACGTTTAGCTTTGTCAAAAGTGAATTACTCTGTATGTTTATTTGGGCCAGTTTGTCCTTGAGTAATTAAACAAGACCAGCATTTCCTAATTGGTGTTCCTCTGTGAATTGCCATATCCAAGATGGCCGCCGCTCCCTTCTGTTCCTGTAAGGTCGAACATAGCAGAGACCACGTGGCCACGATCTTATTAGTATGGTTTTTTTGTTGTTGTTGTTTTTTTTTTTTTTTTTTGACTGTTTTAAAAGTCTGCAGCTGAAGACAAGTTACTTTAGTTGGGCTTCTCGTACTTTTTTTTTTGTTAAACTTATTTACAAATATTTTATTTTAAAATTTACAGTCTGATTACTATCTGTATAAATCAGTGATATACCAAAAAAACGACATTGCTTCTGATAGCATGGAAGCATTCAAAGCCACTGTTAGGTGCTCAACTCACAATATTGGCCACAGGAGAAGCTATTTCTTATACTGCCATTTAGAGATTACTGCCAGTCCTTACATTGGCTTCCTGTATGCTATAGGAGTCAATTCCAGGTACTAATTCACACCTTTAAAGCACTGAACAACTCTATCCCCTCTTATATCTCCTCACAGATCCATAGGTATGTCCCTTCTCGGTCTCTCCGCTCTGCCCGTGACCACCTCCTGTCCTCACGCTTGCAGGACTTCTTGTGGGTGGCTCCCTTCCTATGGAATAGCCTGCCTACCGCCATCAGACTCTCCCCTAGTCTTGCATCTTTTAAGAAGTGCCTTAAAACCCATCTCTTTAGGAAACCTTATGGCCTCCCAGAGTAACCTCTACCTCACATACCTGTCTCTTGCTCTCTCCTAAAGGGCAGCCCATCTTATTTGACTGCAAATTCCTGTCCTAATGTGTTTTACACCCCACCTCCTATAGAATGTAAGCTTGATTTGAGCAGGGTCCTCTTCAACCTATTGTTCCCATAAGTTTATTTGTAATTGTCCTATTTATAATTAAATCCACCTCTCATAATATTGTAAAGCGCTACGGAATCTGTTGGCGCTATATAAATGGCAATAATAATAATACTGCCCTTTAGATTAGTGCCCATTGTGGCATATGAGGATAGGTTTATTTATTTTTATTGTTATGTAGAGACTGTTAAAAGTCTGCAGCTGAAAACAAGTTATTCAAGTTAGGTTGTGCTTTTCACATTTTTATTTATTTACCTTTAATTTTATTTAAAATATAATTATATATATATATATATATATATATATATATATATATATATATATATATATATAATTATATTGTGACCGAAAGCAAGGAATTGTGCTGGAGGGAATCTATATATATCTCCCCCAAATTTTGCAAGGTTCCTACTTTGTGTAATTAGCCCCAAGGAAATGTGTTATGTTAAAATGAATATTGCACTTTAAATATGTGTATTTTTGGGCCCTGGGGTGGAGCACTTGGAGAGTAGGGTGGGCCTGTGCTCCACTCCACATTTTGGAAGTTGCTTGGAACTTACAGGTGAGAAGTCCAGTTCCAGAGTTTCAATCCTAGCCATCCAACCCAGTTAGCTAATTATTTTGTTTAGTTCAGTGGTAGTCAAACCTTTTCTACCTACCGCCCACTAATGCATCTTTTTGGTTGAAAAAATGTCCTTACTGCCCACCAGTTTTCGCGCAAGTGCAGAATATTTTTTCGAAAGGAGTGTGTTTTAAAAAAAAGAAATGTACGTACATTTATCTTTTTATATCTACTTAATGCATGTTTATAATGTTTTTAACTTTATAAAGTTTAATGAGAAAACAATAAAGTAAATTGAAATTACCTTTACTAGTGATTAATGAGATCCTTGAGGTTGATGCTGCAAGACTAAATATTTGATATCTGGTTCGATTTTCGTAAGGAACAAACGAAGGTCTCCTCTTTCGGTGATATTCAGACGATTTCTCTGTTTGCGCATAATATGATTTCTCATCTGTGCGTCAGCTCCCCTCCTCTTTTCCCCTCCACACCTTTTTTTTCCTTTTTAAAAAATTTTTTTTTTACCTTCCTTATAGCAATGCCCAGTAGGAAGGCTGAAATAGGTATCCCACTTACTATTACTTACTATAGCCCACTATAACAGACAGGCACACATATATACATACAGACACACACATAAGACATACATACAAAGACACATACACACATATATACTGACAGACACATACATAAGACACACATACATATATATATATATATATATATATATATACAGACACACTCAAGACATACATACAAAGACACATACACAAACAAACACACAAAATATTTTAGTCACCCTCCTGTTTCCTACCTTTTAGGTGCAGGAGGGTGACTTTCCCTGGGGTCCAGTGGTGGCTCAGGTGGATGGGAGTCAGAGTTCCCACTCTGACTTCCTCCTTCTTTCTCCCGCGCGGTCTGTGTGTTAGCTGGGAGGAGTGACGTGTAGTCACTTCCTCCCAGCTCTGTGATGTAATCACAGGGGGCCTGGTCGCGCTGTTAAAGCGCCCAGCGCTGACCGGGCCCCCTTACAATCCACATCCAACGTGTGGCCATGACAGCATGGGCCACCTGATGGACCCCTCCATATGCGGCCCCGGCGGTTTGCCGGGCGGGCCGGGGCCGCAAGTGGTGATGGCGGTACCCGGTTGCAGGGGTACCACCGGCTTGCACCTGCCCACCTAATCTCTCAAAATTAGAAAATCCCTAAAGGCCGACCTGGAATCCTGAATCGCCCACTAGTGGGCAGTAGGGACCAGGTTGACGACCCATGGTTTAGTTAGTGCTCAGAAGAGCAAGGATTTTGTTTTATATATTTTGTTACAACCTTTTATACCTTACTGTTCATTTATTTTGGAACCACAATAAAAAGAGCAAGTCCTTTTTACCTCATCCAGCGTGTGAAGTGTCTCTAAAGCCTGAAAAGACTGTGTGTAACACCCCAATCCCAGGACAAGGTACCAAGGGAAAGGAGTACTTTTGTCACTATATATATATATATATATATATATATATATATATATATATATATATATATATATATATATATATATATATATCTATCTCTATCTCTATCTCTCTCAATAAATTAATGAAACCAAAGATGGCTAGGGCTGCATTCACATGAACATGCATACATTATAGGGTGCAGCTTGTGCCAATTTATACAAAGTACACAATCCAGCGCACTTGCTCATTTACCAAACAGCGATTTCAAGTCTCACAGAGTGTAATAGTTTTATTTTAAAAACACCTCACCTAGGCAAAAAAATAATGGGGGTTTTCACTACAGTATATCATCATATATTGCATAAGCATGACACAATGTCAATGTACCCCATTCTTGGAAGGTCCTATCCAATGAGTGATGAGATTAATCCACTTACTTGGGGAATTCTTCCTTACTGGGACTATCTGCAGGTTAAGGCTACATAGAGCCCTTGAATGAGGCACCTGTGACAGGGAGAGGTGCAAAACCAAAAAGTTGACCTGGACTTCCAAATATATAAATGAATGAAACCATTTTTCTTTCTGTCATATGGTGGCAGTACATGTGGGTTTTGCTCCTTTCCTGTGGACAAGCATCTAACAAGATTAATTAAATCCACAAACCCCTCCCCTTGCCCTATAAAAGTGCTATCCGGCAAAACCTACCTCAGTTTCCTTTCTTGTCCCGAGAGGGAAGAACACAGCATCTGGAGGGTGAGACACACAGGTTGCTGGTCTGGGGGAATCAGGTCCTAGAGCTGCCCGGGCGGTTAGCTGAGAGACCATGCTCCTTCCGTTATGGTTACGGAGCAAGTGGATACGTTGCCTTTTATGCCGAGGGGGTTCCGGCGAGTACTTCCTGGAGGCGGTCTTGAGGCACAGGTACAACTGATGGAAGCCTGCGCACAGCGGTGGAACGCACGCCCGGGAGGTAATGCGTTCCACCAAAAGTTCTGGTGGCGCAAATACGCATGCGCATACCAAAATTTTTTTATTTTTTTTTTTAAAGCCGCAGAATTTGATGCTCGGCGTAGATGAAGCTGTGCAGTACCCACTGACAGCATGGATGCTTGCCAGAAGTGGTACGCCGTGTCACCAGCTCCCCACATGGCTCAGAGGCATTTTGAGGTAAGATTAATTAATCTTTCCTTCAAAATGATCTCTGTAAAAGTTTATACACTTAATTTACATATGAAGTTACGAGGAAAAGAAGAGGATGGAGATAACAAGCTTTTATTTCAGGATGGGTAATGTTTTGGACCGCTTTCCCTATAGTGAAAGTTTCATAATTTAAACCCTATTGGATATAGGGCTGATATCACCTGCAATGACACAGTGTGTGTCCGCTATATGCTCTATGACGAGTTACAGGGAGCAGTATATGTACCCACTATATGCTCTATGACGAGTTACTGGGAGCAGTATATGTACCCACTATATGCTCTATGACGAGTTACTGGGAGCAGTATATGTACCCACCCACTATATGCTCTGTCGAGTTGCTGTGAGCAGTATATGTACCCACTATATGCTCTATGAAGGGTGGCTGGGAAGACTCAGCTTCAGTATATGTATCCACTATATGCTCTGTGTATGAGTTTCTATGATGGCTCAGTCTCAGTATGTGTACACACTATAGGCTCTGAGTTTTTATGAGGACAAAACCTCTATAGATGTATCCACTATATGCTCTATGACACGTTGATATGTATCCACCTAATGCGCTATGTATAGTTTCTATGAGGACTCAGCCTCAGTAGATGTACCCACTATATGCTCTATGACGAGTTGAAGTGTGTACTCCGCTTCAGTATTTGTATTCACTATATGCGCTATTAATGCGTTTTTATGAGAACTCAGCCTCCGTATATGCTCTATTTAGGAGTTACTGTGAGGACTCAGCCTCAGTATATGTATCCACTATTTGCTATGAGTATTATGAGGACTCAGCCTCTGTATATGTATCCACTATATAATCTGTCGAGTTGATGTGAGGACTCCGCTTCAGTATTTGTAACCACTATAGGTGATATGTATGAGTTACTAGGAGGACTCAGCCTCATTATTTGTACCCATGATTTGCTCTATGTATGTGTTATTATGAGGACACAGCCTCCGTATATGTATCCACTATATGCTCTATGACGAGTTGATGTGAGGACTTTGCTTCAGTAGAAGTATCCTCAATATGCTTTATGTATGAGGTACTGGGAAGACAGGGCCTCAGTATATGCCTTCAATAGATACTCTATGGATGAGTTACCAGGAGGTTACTGCCTCAGTTTATGTATCCTCATTAGGCTGTATATAGGAGCTTCTGTGAGGACGCCGGCTCTGTATATGTATCCACAGGAGCTGCGTAACCTTGGTATATAGCATAGGTTGTCTAGGTATGCTTTCTGTTTGAACAGATTCAATATGTGACTGATATCTCTGGCATTTTGGATGGTTAAGAGACCCCCACAAGATATGTGATTTCAGACAGCTTTACTAGCAGGAGCTGCCATAACCAGAGATATTGGTTTGTTTGTTTTTTCCTTTTTTTGCTCAACGCACTGCAGAACATAATTCCTGGAGAAAGGATTAACCTCTGCCCCAATCTTTCCAGAATTTGCAGTTGTCTAATGAAAATCCCCTTTTCTCTTTATGATTGCGAATGTTTGGTAGTTTTATGGTGGAGATCTTAGACGACTGATACCGCATCAAAATTGATCCTTTGTGAGCTTCCCTTGGGTAATCAGAATATGTTTGGGTCTCACTTGAAGAAAATCCAACACAATTTAGAGACTAAGAAAATACTGAGCAAATTCCGATAAATTGAAACAGGAGAGTATAGAGTGTTGCCTCGGTACTTTCTAAAGAAAGTAAAGTTGTGTAAATATAGGCGATTATTTATTTTTTGGGGAGATCAGACGGAGGAAACAGAGGGAAACATTTGACGCCGACGATTCTATCAGCAATCCATAGATTCTATTTCTTATTCAAAAAGAGTCCCTAGATCTCGTGAACAAGTCAAACATATTGTTGGTTTTCTCTCCCCTATCATAGAAGAAAGGGAGTTGGTAGTAGCGGATCCGTTTTTTGAATTAGATAGAGTTCCTTTCAGGAGGATTGTCTTCCGTCTAAAGACCTTGTTGGGGATCACTATCTAGTCCCCATCATTTTTCGTGGTAATGGTTAAAGGGACACCATAGGATCTACTTCATTTCATTAAGCTGGTTATAGTGTCTGGAGTCCTCTGGTACCATAATTTATTTCAGCATTAAACAGTTTTTAAACTTTTAATGTTTTAATGCTAAACAAGAGTCCCTTGCAATCCTGTGCTGCTTTGGCTAATAAGGAAGTATTAGCCTGAGCAGCAATAGGCAGCTGTGATTGGCTGAGAGTGTCAGCTGACTGCTTTTAGCCTGTCAGAGCTCCAACTGACGGTATGAATGGGTATGACAACAAGGAAGTGTGTAATCTCTGCCTTAGCTACACTTACTGAAGGGGCCGGACTGTGGGTGGCCAGGGACTCTTATTTTGTGGCATACAGCACGAACATGGTGCAACATTGAATGGAGGGACAGTGCCAGGGCACTCCAGGCACTATAACCAATTCAAAGAGATGAAATGCTTATAGTGACTACAGTGTCCCTTTAAGGGAGAAATAGCAGATTTCGGGGGTTTAAAGCTGTGCTTCCGCCCTTCACCTCTTCAGTCTGTGGATACGGCGGAAGGCTGTAAAGATTCATTCGGACACTTGTACAAAGGTTTGATATGTCAACCGGCAGGGAGGAACCAGAGTAGGTGCTCTTTCTCGCCTGCATGCGGTTATCTTGCTGAGGTGCATAATTATCTAGTAGATATTTCGGCAGTTCTAATCAGAGGGATTGACAATGACATAGCTGTCGAGCTCAGAAAGGGAAATTGGAATGAAAAAGTTTGGTCCTTAGGTCCATGTAATTTGACAGTCTGGAGAGGAAATTTGGTGTTCCAGACATGGCCCTGGTGGCAAACATTTCAATAACAAGGTTCCCCAAGTCACCTCCCTGTTCAGAGCAGGTCCCTCGGTGATAGATAACGCTCATTGTAATATAATGTCAGGTTGGCATGTCTCTTTCTTCCGCTTACGCTATTTCCAAGTTGTCTTCGAAAATTAGGGCTGTCGGAGCCTTATCCTGGTTCTTATTCCATTCTGGCCATACAAGGTTCTGATTCCGTACTTTCAAAAGATGGCCTCCACACAGTGGTAACTTCCAAGCTCGAACGATCTCATGATGAATAGGAATCTACCCTATTGGTTCTGTAGAGGTTCAGGTTAATGGCCTGGCTACTGCTAGGTTACTTCTTCATCATCTAGGTCTGCAAGAAGATAGATTCGGCTGTGTAGCTTGATCAACTATATTTCCTGCTTAAAAGGTCTACTTTCTAATAAGGGTCAGGTTTTTTTATTGGTGTTGGGAACACCACTGCCTGTGTGTTCATCCGCCTGTAGAACCATGCTTTAATGTCTTCAGGATTTTGTTCTGCAGGCTTCGTGTTTTCTGCTTTGAGGTTCAGGCCTCAATCCTGAGAATCCTGCTGAAATAAGATTTTGCATCCATATGTTAAACTTAAGGTTTTTTTGTAATCTGCCAGGTCCAGACATCCTCCTAGAGTTCTGTTTTTTTCCTTCCTGGGATTTATCCTTGAATTTTACTAGCTCTTGGTAACACTCTTTCGATCCTGTGAAAAGGTTTCCCTTACAAGTTTTGTTCCTCTAGGCCACCTTCTTGGGGGCCATCATATCGGATAGAAGGTTCAAGTGAGCTTCAGTCATTTTCATCCCCAGATTATTTTTTTCAGTATTGCTCGTGGACACGGTGGTTCTTCACACTAAACCTTTCTTTTTTTCCTACGGGTTTGTACTACGAGTCACCGTTTGTTTCTGCTTTCCTTTTGGTGGTTGTGCCATCTCGCCTCGGGGGCTTAAATAGTTTTTTTCTTGTATCTTAAAGGAGCATTGCAAGATCTCTCTTCCTAGGACTGAATAGCCTCAGGGGCAGTAAGAGCTCTTGTTTCTTCCAGTGGACATCTGTGAGGCACCGTCTTGGGGCTGCCTTTCCACTTTTTCATTAAACTCTACAGGCTAGAGATATTCTCATCCTCTGAAACGGCCTTTGGGCGTAAAGGTTGCGACCTAGGGTGACATTGGACCCGCCCGGGTTAGGGATCTTGCTAAATCCCACATGTACTGCCACCATGTGACAGAAAAAAATGAATTTTTTACTTACTGTAAATTCTTTTTTCTTAATATGGTGGCAGTACAGCTTCCCTCCCTCTATATTATATTTTCTTGATTACAGTATAAGTTTTATCTGTAGTTTTTCTTGCTACTTACTGAGGTAGGTTTTGCCGGACAGCCTTTTTATAGGGCAAGGGGGGTTGTTGATTTAATTAATCTTGTTAGATGCTTGTCCACTGAAAAGGAGCAAAACCTACATGTACTGCCACCATATTAAAAAAAAAAAAAAAAAAAAATTTATGGTAAGTAAAAATTTCTGTTTTTTTTATTTAAAAATTCTAATGAAAAAATCCACTCATTAAAAGATAGGTCCTACGGCGCAAACATTTTTGGGGGGGTTCCACGATATTGGTATACCATGTCAAAGGGTTCCACGGGAAAAATTAATTGAGAACTAACACAACCAAAAATGTTTCAAATTGTCATTAGGCTGGCGGCAGTTCTAAACTTGATTTAATTAAGAGTAAGCTGTATACTCTTCTATGCCCAGTGAAAATAAGGGATTATATGTAAAGTTTCACAGAGGATCGATAATATGACATTACCTCTCTTTCCTCTAGATAATGTTCTTGCACAATATGTTATGTAAGTAGCTCAGTGCTGGAAAATGTTAAGCCCTGTGAATGTTAAAGTACATTAACTTGAAACTCAACACTAGAAAAATAGATGCTTACAGGTAAATAATTATTTAAAATCTCTGCTGTTTTCCTTGCTCTGAATTTCATGTGGTAAATTGGATTTAATTTTCCATGTACTGTGCAATATATTTAATTCCTTCTATTAATATGCACTGTATTGTTGCTTAATAGTCAGACCGAATACTAATACTTTTTAATATAAGTAAATTGTGAGGAAATTGCTTCCACCTCTTACACCATGGGATAGAAAACAAAACTTTAAAGGAACACTATAGGGCCAGGAACTGACTCCTGACTCTATAGTGTTAAACCCACCATCTAGCCCCTCATGCCTCCCTAAATATAGCAAAATCTTACTTGTATTCAAGCCTGAAGCTGTAGCTCTGCATGCTGTTTGCCTAGAAATAGCAAGCTGTCTGCTGACATCATCAGAAGTGGTGGCCTGATCCAATCACAGTGCTTCCCCATAGGATTGGCTGAGACTGACAGAGGCAGATCAGGGGCAGAGCCAGCACAGTTCAAACACAGCCCTGGCCAATCAGCATCTCCTCATAGAGATTAATTGAATCAATGAATCTCAATGAGGAAATTCCAGTGTCTGCATGCAGAGAGAGGAGATACTGAATGTTTGGATGCATTTTAGGCAGCCAGGACCCAGGAAAGATCTCAAACAGCCACCTAAGGAGCGGCCAGTGAAGTTATCATTAGGCTGTAATGTAGACACTGCATTTTCTCTGAAAAGACAGTGCTTACAGCAAAAAGCCTGAAGGTAATGATTCTACTCATCAGAACAAATTCAACAAGCTGTAGTTGTTCTGGTGACAATAGTGTCTCTTTAACTAGAAAATCTTTCTGCAGAATCTTGCTTGCTGTATTTTAATAGACTGCTCATGTTCTTACTAAACTCATTTTATTGGACACTTGGCTTGTTGTAGAGTGAAATTAGTCAATTACACCTGTTGGTGACACTCTGACACTGTTATTTACTAAACTGAGTATTGAAGGGAATTTCAAATGTAGTAGCAGAATGGAAAACATAGCTGTTTTTCCAGTTCACCTATTTAGATCTGAAATGTTTAATTTCACTTTGAATTCACCTCCAGTTCTTACTTAAATATTCTTAGTTTGTGAATAGCTTTGTGAGCTTTTCATTAATTTATCTATAATGTGGGTGTTTAGGCTGAGTGCTTAAAGGGGCACTATAGTCACCAAAACAACTTTAGCTTAATGAAGCAGTTTTGTTGTATAGATCATGCCACTTTAGTATCACTGCTCAATTCTCTGCCATTTAGGAGTTAAATCACTTTGTTTATTCAGCCCTAGTCACACCTCCCTGCCATAGGCGTGCGCAGCCTATTGCATAAGGGTGTGCACCCTAAAGCACAAACACACGCCGCGTGTGTGTGTGTGTGTATGTATATGTGTATATTTATATGTGTATATTTATATATATATATATATATGTATATTTATATATATATATATATATATATATATTTAAAAAAACAAAAAACAGTAAGTCTGGCATTCAATCCTCAAAAATAAACAAAAAACTTACACCAAGGTGCTGCTCTGCGCTGAATATGTAAAATGTAATAAAGATGAGGGCACTCAATGGACTTCCAAAGAAAAAAATCTATTAGAATGTTGCCAATATGGATCAACGTTTCGACCAAACAGGTCTTTATCAAGATGATTGATAAAGACCTGTTTGGTCGAAACGTTGATCCATATTGGCAACATTCTAATAAATTTTTTTTTCTTTGGAAATCCATTGAGTGCCTTCATCTTTATTACATTTATATATATATATATATATATACACTATAACTGCTACATACAGCTAAAGTTGTTTTGGTGACTATAGTGTCCCTTTAACCCCTTCAGGACCAGACTGTTTTTGCGATGTTTGTACGTTAAGGACCAGAGCTATTTTAACACCTTTGTGGTGTTTGTGTTTAGCTGTAATTTTCCGCTCTCTCATTTACTGTTCCGATACAAATGATATATTGTTTTTTTCAGGACAAAAAGGGCTTTATTTACATACTATTATTTTTATCATGTCATATAATTTAATTTTAAAAAAATAATAAAATATGGTGAAAAATTAAAAATAAAACACGTTTTTTGACTTCTACTTAATATTTTACTGATCTACAAAATCGAATGAAACAAACTGCTAAATATATTCAAAATTTTGTCCTGAGTTTAAAAACACCCAATGTTTGTGTTTTTTTGCTTTTATTTGCAAGTTATAGGGCTATAAGTACAAGTAGGAAATTGCTGTTTCAAAATTTACATTTTTCAAATGTATCAATAGTGACATTGTAACACTGTTATGTCATAAATCTCCAAAAAACACCCCACATGTATATATTTTTCTTAAACTAGATAACCCAGGGTATTCATCTAAGAATATTTTGATACTTTCTATGCAGCCATTTTACCACAAAACCTTTGCCAAGCTTTGCATAGGTAGTTTATTTTTTATTTATTTTTTTCACATACTTTGCAATTCAGGTATAAATTCACAGATTCTGTTAAGTTTCACTGCCAAACAACACCCCAATATGTGTTCAGCAACATCGTTCGAGTACAGGGATACCCCATGTATAGGTGTGTCGGGTTGTTTGGGGGCTAAAAGGCCACATTTGGCAGGTGCGCATATCAGTTTCCCAGCTTGGAATTTTGACATGTAGTCAACCTGCATGCATGCCCTATTTGGGACATTTTTGAAGCCGGCCAATGTATTTTACCCCCCATCAAACCATATATTTTTGAAAAGTAGACACCCTAGGGTATTTCACATGGTGGTATTTTAACACTTTCCATGCACTAATTCTACCACCAGGCTTTGTCAAAGATTGAGTTAGTGCATTTTTTTCTGTTTTTTCCACACACATTGTACTTTAGGCATGAATTAACAGATCCTGTTATGTATCACTGCCAAACAACACCCCAATATGTGTTCAGCAAGATCTCCGGAGTACAGTGATACCACCGATGCATAGGCCTGTCGGGTTCTTTGGGGGCTAAAAGACCACGTTTGGTAGGTGCGGTTATCAGTTTCCAAACTTGGAATTTTGACATGTAATCAACCTGCGCCCATGTCCCATTTGAGCCAATGTATTTTACCCCCATCAAACCATATATTTTTGAAAAGTAGACACCCTAGGGTATTTCACATGGTGGTATTTTAACACTTTCCATGCACTAATTCTACCACCAGGCTTTGTCAAAGATTGAGTTAGTGCATTTTTTTTCTGTTTTTTCACACACATTGTACTTTAGGCATGAATTAACAGATCCTGTTATGTATCACTGCCAAACACCCCAATGTGTGTTCAGCAACATCTCCCGAGTACAGTGATACCCCCCATGTATAGGGTTGCTGGGTTGTTTGGGGGCCAAAAGGCAACAATCAGAACTTGTACATGTCAGTTTTTCAACTTGCTATATAGGTATGCTTGGTCTATCTTCAGTTTGACATATTTTTGCACCCCCCAGTTAATGTAACCATCATGAAAGTATATATTTTTATAAAATAGACATCAAAGGTTATAGAAGATGGGGTGCTTTGACTTCTTTCCCCCAACCATTTTGCCCCCCCCCAAAAAACAGAGAAAGTGTAGTGGTAATTTTTAAATTCTGGTTTTTATGCATACGTCATCTGGTTTTGGCCAGCTGGTTATGTGTTACTGCCAGAAAACGTGTTAGACCAAATGTGCAGGTAGCAAATGTAAATTTAGCAGCAATCTTTAAACTGACCCCTGCAAATAGAATCTAACTGGAGATTTGGGGGAAGGAAACTGACTAACAAAAAATGGCTGCTTTCCAAAGAAACAAAAAATAAAATAAAAATTCAGGAACACTTCTTACAACTGTTCTGTGTGGTACAGCTTGAAACATGTTCCTACACACTTGGTTTCGAAGGGCAATCAGGACCGTGAAAAGGGGTGTCTGTCCTTTTCCCGTTTTTAAAACAGACCTGGCAATGTTTCTGGGGGAGGGGGAGAGGGGGTTCTAGCAGTTGGCGGTAACTGAAAAATAAAATGCCTGGACTCAGCTTGCACCATTGTTGGAACTTGTCCATCTCCATAAATTGTTAAAGAAATTATTTTCAACTGAAATTGGAGAAAGGTGGTTTACCCTGGATTAATTTTTTTAAAAAGCAAAAATGAGTTGTGGGTTGCTATTTGCATCACATAGATAGCCACCTTTTTATACCATGCTTTGTTTTTTCGTAAAATAAGATATGGCTGCATCAGCTTATCAGCCAAATCAACTCCCCCCATGTACTTTTTATATGCCCTGATGCAAACCGGTTTGGACTCTACTCTGCCCCGGACAGAGACGTCTGACATGCGTTCGTCATGGATGGTGGTTAGCATGTTGACATCCTTCCTGTCCCTAAATTTTAGTGCAAGCACTTCAGCTTTGAGAAGTGCTTTACATTCGCCTTTTTTTAATTTTGCCTGTATGAGAGATCGTGGAAAGTCTTTGGAATTTTTTCTGGCAGTGCCGCAGGCCAATGTCTGTAAACCATAAAGTGTTTTAAACAGACGGACACTACTATAAAAATGATCCACATAAAGGTGGTAACCTTTATTAAACAAGGGGTTTAGTAGGTCCCATACAAGTTTCCCACTTGTCCCCAGGGAGTCAGGACAGCCAGGAGGGTCCAGTTGACCATCTTTCCCCTCATATACACTAAAGGCAAACATGTTTCCACTTTCGCTCTCGCACAGTTTGTACAGTTTTATGCCATACCTAGAGTGCTTTGAGGGGATGTATTGTCTGAACCCTAATCTCCCTTTGTATTTCATTAGCGATTCATCTATGGATAAATTTTGTTGGGGGGTATAAACATCCGAAAATTTGTCCTGAAAATGGTCTAGCAGTGGGCGTATTTTATGAAGCCTATCGTATTGGGGGTGATCTCTAGGGTGACAGAGGGTATTTTCACTGAAATTTAAAAATGTCAGCAGTAACTTGTATCTGGCACTAGGCATGGTTTGGGAGAATACTGGACTAGACATTATTGGGTTGGTGCTTCAGTATGAGCGAATCGATGGCTTCTTTATAATCCCCATGAGCATTGTAAGCTCTGGGACATCTGTGGGATGCCAGTCATGCTCCCTGACTGTATAGCTACCTGGATTGTTATCAATAAATTGGGTAGCATACAAGTTAGTCTGGGAAGCAATCTCCTCCCAGATGGTATCCCCTAAAAATAGTTCTACATACTGCATTGGGGAGAAGCCATCCACATTAACATTAATGCTTGCGTTGGCACTAAAAGGGGGGACGTTGGGCTCGACTAACTGTGGAGGTACCCAGTCCTCCTCCACATTCGGCGTAGCAGAGGAAGCACAGCTTCTTTTTTCAGCCGGCTCACACACAGATGACATGTCTTGACTAGAAAACTGACCTGGGTCAAAATCTGACGCAGTGTCAGTGGAGTCAGAGTCTGACGCCAAGAAGGCATATGCCTCCTTCAAGTTATACATACGCTGCATGTTTTACACACGACTAAAACAAATTACAAACACACAAAAATTTTGGGGGAAGGAAACTGACAGACCAAGAAACAGATTTTTAAAAGAAATGTAACCCTTTAAGGGCAAAAAAAAAAAATACAGACAGTACAAATGCACTGCTGTAACAGATCTGGCAGGGAAGGGGTTAAAAGGTGATTTAAAAAATAAATAAAATACTGATACTTTCTGATGGTCACTGAACACTGCTGCAACAAACTATCACGATCTCTGTCTCTCTCGCCTCACAAAACGCTACAGAGGAGAGAGGGGCAGAGATCCCTGTCAAAGTGAGTGTTTGTAACACCCATTTTGACAGCAGCCAATTGTGAGCGATCGCGGATCGCGCACACGCCGCAATTGGCTGTTACTATCTGCCTGGGATGTCTGGCAGATAGTTACAGTGTTATACAGGCGGGAGCGATCTTTGATCGCTTCCCGCAGCCCGTTTTTTGCTATGACGGTTCAGGACCGTCAGTGGTCCAAACGCACGTTTTACCGCTGACGGTCCTGAACCGTCAGCGGTCCTGAAGGGGTTAAGTACTTCACGTGGCATTGCTCATATTAAAGGGTTACGCTAACAACCTTCAACACTTCTGCTTTCAGAAGTAATCATGGTTGTAGGAGTCTGTATGTTCAGAGTTTCTACTTAAAACACTGCACATACCGAAAAATATGCAGATTTGTGCTGGGGTCTATTTACACCCCTAGCACAAGTGATTTAGTCATCACAGAACTCTGTTCTGGACTGCTCAATATGAATTCTGTGCTAAAATGAAGTCTGTAGTCATCACACACTGCTGTAATGAGATGATAATCTCCTCCCTCCCTGTGCTCCCTCTCAGCTCTCCCCACCTCCTCCATGTTCAACAGTTACATGTACTCTGAGACGGTATATGGTCCAATAAAAACGATTCTTTTTAGAAGAAAATTTGAGGAAGGCACACATCTTATTATCTATAGTGGATATAGCACATACAGTGTTCCTTTTATAGGCTTTTATAATACATACAGTTTTCTTGATGATGAAAGTTGTGCTAGTGAGCCAGAGTGGCAAAACTGCTTACAAAGGTCTTGTTTTTAACCAGGCTACTGTTTTTGCTATATGTTGGCTTGGCAGCAATATTATAATGCAGTATCACTAAGATGATACTATAGATATACACTGTTGATTTAGTTTTGTAATGCATAATCTACGGTTGCCTCTTAATTCGCAATAGCTCTACGACCCAGGTAATTTATATGCGCTATTACTTATTTTCAATTCAATTATTTTAAATTGTTTTAACATTTGTACATCTAAAAATGAAAATACAAAAATGCATTCAAAATATTACATTTAGAATAGACAATTGCCTCATTGTTTGATTTAAAATTCTTTATCCGCAGAATAAGCATTGATTTTAATTTTGTTTGATGCGTTCAGACTGCACATATTGTTTATTCAGTGGTTCCTGTCATTTCTGTGCAATTTGTGAACTTGATGCCTTGCGGGAAATAAGGAATTAGCATTGGTTAGTGGATAAATTAGGATAGCAGCTATAAAGCAATAGTAGAGCGAAGGCATCTGTCAGTTACATTACCCATTTGCAAATTAAAACATGTCTTTTTGTTTTCTTAAAGGGGAACTACAAGCACCATAAAAGGCTTATAGTGGTGGTTGTGGTGCTAGGCACTATGTCTTCAGACCCTCCAATATTTGAGAATCCATTTTTACGTATTTTGACAAAAAAGACAATTGTCTTGGGTTCGGCAGGACCATCCCTATCCACAATCGGCGTAGTGCGAGCGAATCAGTAGACGCTGCGCTGACAGGACACAAAGCTCACGCTCAGAGCACTTACACATCATTCTCATCATGGGATAAGACTGGCCATACAGACTGTTAGTCACTTTTTGTGAATGCACGGCAGACTGAAATGCTTCTTTTCATCGATGCCTCCTTCCAAGCGTGGTACTAAAACCAAATATTGAAAGTATGAGCACTGAATGGTGTAAGAGATAGTAAAGTCTTATATTAATTTGAAATAACATATGACTTTATAAATACATAATAAATTCAGGGCCCAAATTTTTAAGTGTTACTCTACTAGTTCTAGGTCTAAAATGTATTCACCACTACAAGCGTGTAGGGTCCAAGGCACAATCATCAGGGGTACGTTTCTACTCACCAGGGCTGAATTTCAATGTATGTAAACACGGGCATTCAAGATTGTCTGTTTCTTTGTAAATAGATTTATTTACGAGAGCATATTTTTAGCATGAATATATTTGCACAAAAACATAAGCATTCCTTACAAATGAACAAACAAAGGTTTGGAAGGAGGTGTGTGAAGAATAGCACACATGATTTATATTTATGTAAAAGGAACACTAAAAAAAACAAAAACAGTTGAATGTGTTTTACTTATTTTTTAAAATTCAGGGCCCCCATTTTGTTTATATAATGTAAATCACTATTAATCATTAAAATTACTGTAATCCAAGTGCAGGGACAGTCTCCTCACTGCAGCTGGACCCTACAATCATGATGGCTGGATCCTTTAATCATAATGACTAATCTAATCAGATGTTTTTCACAGGGAATCCTTGTGTACACATGGTACATCTGTGGCAAACATCACAATCCATCAATTCAGTACTTCTCTATGAGAAGTATTGCATCTAGAGCTTCTGCTAGCGAAGCATTGGACACACACAATCTATGGTATATTTTTCATGCTGGCACCAGACATCAAATAGATTCAGTTTTTGCAATGATTTCTTCAAACCCGTAGGCGACCTTAAAAGGCACATAAAATCACATTTCCTTTCCTCAATATATTAACATAGACTAAGCAGAAAGGGATTCATTATTTTACTCCCCCCATTCATGATAGATGTAAAAAATAATCTTGTTTTTACAAAATCTAATTTTAGCGAGGCCTAAACTGCACGCTCAGGGGTTAACAGGTATATATGACCGTACTTCCACGGCCCTGCACTTAGGCACAGCTTTTATCACTTAAGGCTTTTTTTCTTTTTTTTTTAGCCAGGGAAGTGAAGAATTGATGCGTTGTAATTTATTTATTTATTTTCAGAAGTCTACTTTGTGTATATGAAATTACTTGGAGCTTGGTCTTATGTCTCATCTTATCTTTTCGAACAGTACAAATATTAGTCTTGCTTCTGTAGATTGTCCCCTGGGACCAAAGACTTAAACCTTAAACTCTTTATATTATGACACTTAACTTTATTTGGGGTGGGAGGATGGGGGGGATTGGAGTGGGGAGATGACAGAAATGCCAAGCAGAAACATCTTCGCAACTCCGGTGATGGAAGCCATCATGTGTTTGTGATACTGTTATTTTTCATAACTCACTTAAAAACTCAAATTGATTACCCTTAATTTAGAATATCCCATATTTTGTTTTGCTTGATTATTTTAAAGTCAGAGAAGAAGCACAAACAAACTGATTTAAAGGGATTCTCGAAACACCAAAACAAGTCTACACTCTTACACACACCCTTCTTGACAAAAGGTTATATTTTTATTCAGATCTTGCAGCACAGTATGCTTACTTTTAGAAGCTAGATCTCCTACTCTGGTAATTGAACGTTTATCACATACAGGAGGCTGTTTATGGGCTTTAACTGGCAATCCACAGAGCCAGAAACAAGAACTTATGAATTAAATACACTTTTGCAAAAATAGGAATCTATAGAAAATTAGATTTTTTTTCAGGAAGTGCAGGTAGGCTGTATGAGTCTCAGGGATTTTATATATAATATCTTTCTTGATGGGTGTAATCTAAAGATCCAGTTGCAAGAGATCCAACTTGCCTTTTGTATGCACTCTAACTCAGTGGGCAATTGTTAACTTGATCTTTGACTTACAATAATGATAAAGTTAATATGACTCCGTTCCACATATAAAAACCTCCTAAGATCTCATTGAGAATGACTGTCAGTGACCAGGGAAGTCTACTTATTTTGAACCTCAACATAAAGGTGTCAAATGGCTCACAATATACGGCATTTTCCCCTGTACCTAGTACACAAATTTAGTAAGAAAGCCCCTGTGTAGAATTCATGGATGAGGTCAAGATCGTTTGCTATAGACCTGACTAAGTGTATTTATCCAGTCATCAGCACAAGAAGATTTACAGAACATAGGGATGGAATCACAAAGGTAACCTTTGGAACAAATTGTCATCAGAAAAACTAAAACGAGGAAATAAATAGTTCATTTGTGCATTTTTTTTACTTTTCATACAAATCTGTCATTCACTTTCTTCTGCAAAATGTATCTCCGTCTGGTATCTCTATAATTAGTTTTTATATGTTTGTTATCTGCAGGGCTTAATCTAGACTCTTCAGATCTTCCCAGCCAGATGAGCTTCTCGGATTGGCCTGAAATAAGGAAGATATTTACGGAAAAATTTGAACAGAAAACTCAAGCAGAATGGTGCCACATATTTGATGGGACCGACGCGTGCGTAACTCCTGTTGTGTCCTTGAATGAAGTTACAGCACACCAGCATAATAAGGAGAGAGGATCTTTTATCATTAATGATCAAGGGGAAGTAAGCCCTAGGCCTGCCCCACTTCTCTCCAGAACACCTGCAGCTCCCGATACCAGCAGGGATCCATTTGTAGGAGAACACACTTATGAAGTCCTGTCAGAATATGGTTTCAGCGCTAAAGAAATTTCAAATTTTCAGACTTCTGGAGAAATTGCGTGTAACACACCAAAGAGTCAATTATAAAAATGAAATAGCATTGGTAACCCTTTCATTTATAAGTGCAATTGTTAAATAATTAAGGTGATTATTTGAACTCTATAATAACGTATATTGAGATTATTTATATAAACTCAAGGCCTTATTTGGGTCTGATATGAATTGTACAGTAATATTTTTCCCAATTCAGCTAAAATGGACCATTTTTGCTCTATCGGTTTTTAAAGTCTGAGTAATTTTCAAAGTAAATTGTGTTTTGGATTTTTTTTTTCTTGTCAGATTTCTGCTTTGACTTCTCTCCTTCACTGTCTACAGTTCAGTATAATACAAAATCTATACTGATAACATAGTATCTGATATATACAGGGAGTCTCTATTATTATAATACCATTATAATAATAATAATTATTATTACAGTTCTAAGGCAGTGACATTACTACTTCTCTAACCAGCTAGCTCATATATGTATGTAAAAAACAAAGATGTGTTCTTAATGAATTAACAATTAATTGTAGCATTTACTAAAGTTTACACAAATTCCCTAAAAAGGGTATGTTTCATTATTAGTTCCAGAACTGGCCTCTGCAACTACTGAACATTTACACCTTTTTGCCCAGGACTTACTTGTTAATGTTGGGATTTGTACTATAAAATACTTCTCGTATGAAAGCATTGAGGATAAACCTTTTGGATGGGTGGGCTTATAAAGAATTAGAATTTTTGTATACAGAAGGGAAAAAAAATCATACTTTAGGACTGTATTAGTTCATGTGTCCCTTTTAAGAATTTACCCATTCGGCCATTGACAGCCTGTCAAAGGCATCTGGGATTGGCATACACTGTTGCACAAAGCTGATATTTCCAGCCAGGAAGAGAATGGCTTGAAGGTTTGAAATAGGCAACAGGGACACAATCTTTGCACCATAAACACTTTAGGAAAATTAAGAGCGATCCTTTAAGGCTTCAATTAAATATATCTAATGTTATTGAAATTTCTTTCATAAACTGCAAACCAGTGTCAGCGCTTAGTGAATATTCCCCTGTGAGATATTCTCCAGGGTATCATAACAAACATGTACAGTCCGACTTCCAAAAATGGGTATCAGTATAGCAATCTATGCATCAATCTATGTATCAACAGTGATGAAGGTATACGTCTTTTAATTGTGTCCACTTTTGTAGCAAACCACGATGTGTTCTGTATGTACCTTAAAATTAAGGAAACAGTAACATAGTGAAACACTGTAGATTTATTTTATCCTATTGAACCCGCCAAATAATAAATTCTTACAAGATAAAATGGTTGTGCTTATTTCTAAGTACCACTAAAACAGCAAAGGGTACACGTGAGCCAGCCAAGCAGTCAAAGAGTTACCAGTTCCTTGGGAAAAGACAGCATCTGCTCTGTGCACTTGAGCCGACCGTCTACGATCTACGCCTGGAGGAACACCAAAGGTATCTCTCGCTGGGAGACAAAAACCGTATATGTGGTCACCAGATGCTGAAAAGGACGTCTGGCACCATAAACACGTTTTGCCCTTCTGAAATGGGCTTTTTCAACATAGGTGCCGCGACCGCTTCTGAACAGTTTTATACTCTGTTATCTGAGCGGAATCAGTGATTTCGTAAAGATCCAGACATATGACTAAAAAAGTGTCTCATTGGATCACTTATAATGATAATATATGCAATATACTAATAAAGCATACTCTCTTATGACATAATTCCATAAAATATACACGACAGAAAAAAAAAAAATTTAGAAAGCAAAATACACGTCAAAAATAAAATAAACACATAACATCCAAAATGATTTTGAAGTTAACATAACAGGATGATCTTGCACTGATGCTTTATATAGGAATTTGTTATCGATCATTCTCCTTGCTTATGAATATATGTTGTACCCCAATAAAGCTAGCAGTAATAAATTATATAGTTAAATCATATATGCTTATTTATTTTTGGATGTCTATATTAGGGTTCTATGTTGGACGTTCTAATTCATCAAAAGTGGAAGATCAATAAGTGTTTCCCTAGGTATCCCTATGGAAACACTAAATGATCATCCACTTTTGATAGGGATCCCTCTGGAAACACTTATTGATCATCCACTCTTGATATGGAAACACATTGTTCTTTTGACGCACTAGAATGTCTAACATAGAACCCAAATATACACATAATCTATCTTCCCAAAAATGTATAAGCATATATGAATTAACTATATAATTTATTACTGCTAGCTGTATTGGGGTGCAACATGTACTCATAAGCAAGGCGAATGATCGATAATAGCTTCCTATATGAAGCATTAGTGCAATATTTGCAGTAGATCATCCTACACCAAAATGTCAACAAGAGTGAAGAAAGGTACCTTTCGAATGAACAAACAGCAATTTAATCAGAAAGTAAAACACTTCCTTCTGAAAAGCCACAGAGTCTGGCCATTATTACATTTTTATTTTCTCAGCTGTTTTATGCATGTTTACTGAGAATTATAAGACACAAGCACATCATATGCTTAATAAAAATATAATCTGTATCATCAGTATTGAAAATCACTCTCCAAAATTGAATCACATAGCAGGTCAACAAATGACCATAACATAAGTATTCATATAACTGGAACAAGGTTTGACATAAATGAGATCCTACAATACGGATATTAACATGAATAGCCAATATCACAAAGTTCCCTAAACACCAGGCTAAATTACCCTAGGGCATCCGATACAGTTGTGTTTGAAAGCTTGCATACCCTGGCAGAAATTGTGCCTGATCATGCAAAAAAAAAAAAAAAAAGTCTTTTATTGGAGGATAATGATCATATGAAGCCATTTATTATAACAAAGTTGTTTGGCTCCTCTTTTAAATCATAGTGATAACAGAAATCACCCAAACAGCCCTGATCAAAAGTTTACATGCCCTAGAATGTTTGGCTTTGTTACAGACACGCAAGGTGACACAGGTTAAAATGGCAATTAAAAGTTCATTTCCTACATCTGCTTTTTTTTTTAATTAGTGTCTGTGTATAAATAGTCAATAAGTTTGTTATCTCTCACTTGGATGCACGGAGCAGGCCAGATACTGAGCTATGGGGAGCAGAAAATAACTGTCAAACGACCTGCGTAACAAGGCAACAGAACCTTGTAAAGATGTAAAAGGAAATAAGGATATAAAAAGACATCCAAAGCTTTGAAAATGCCAGTCTGTACTGTTCAAACACTTATTAAGAAGTTGAAAATTTGGGGATCTCTATATACCAAGCCAAGGTCAGATAGACCAAGAAATATTTCAGCTACAAATGCCAGAAGAATTGTTTGTGATACAAAGAAAAACCCACAGGTAACCTCAGAAGAAATATAGGCTGCACTGAAAAAAAGACGCTGTGGTTGTTTCAAGGAGCACAAAACGATTATACTTGAACAATAATGAGCTGCGTGGTCGAGTTGTAGAAAGAAGCCTTTACTGTGCCAATGCCACAAACAAGCCCAGCTACAATATGCCCAACACCTTGACATGCCTCACAGCTTCTGGCACACTGTAATATGGAGTGACTAGACCAAAAGAGAACTTTATGGTCACAACCATAAGTGCTATGTAAAGAAAGGGGTCAACAAGGCCTTTAGTAAAAAGAATACCATCCCCACTTTGAAAATTGATTGCAAGATGAATGTATGTTATCTGAAAATACTGGCAGACAATTTGCATTCTTCTGCACGAAGGCTGCGCATGGGACACTCTTGGACTTTCCAGCATGACTAAGCATAAGGCCAAGTTGACCCTCAAGTGGTTACAGCAGAAAAAGGTGAAGGTTATAGAGTGGTCATCACAGTCTCCTGACCTTAATATCATCGAGCCACTCTGGTGAGATCCCAAACGTGCGGTTCATGCAAGACCACCAAAGACTTTGCATGACAGAGGCATTTTGCCAAGACTAATGGGCTGCTATACCACCCGCAAGAATTAGGGGCTGTATAGACAAATATTACAAAAGACTGCACTCTGTCATTGATGCTAAAGGGGGCAATGCACAGTATGAACAACTAAGGGTATGCAGACTTTTGAAGATGAGTCATTTCATTTTTTTCTTTGTTGCCATGTTTTGTATTATGATTGTGCCATTCTCTTATAACTTGTGTTTTGCTTGCTTGCTCATGTTTTCTTTAAAAATTGTACATAACATTGTACATATATTACCAATTCTCCAAGGGTATGCAAACTTTTGAGCACAACTGTACATACATTATGAGTGAAACATCAACAATAAGCATAGTAGAGAGCAGATGATGCTGTTATTAAACTCATTAGGTGTGGAAGTATTGCACATTTGATGTGTGTATCTGTATGTTCAACCTTGTGTTAGTTATATGAATATTTATGTTGTGGTGATTTGTGGATCTTGTATGTGATCCTATTTTGTAGAGTCATTTTTAATGCTGATAATAAAAGATATTTTATTAAAGGACCACTATAGGCACCCAGACCACTTCAGCTTAATGAAGTGGTCTGGGTGCCAGGTCCAGCTAGGGTTAACCCTTTTTTTTTTTTATAAACATAGCAGTTTCAGAGAAACTGCTATGTTTATAATAGGGTTAATCCAGCCTCTAGTGGCTGTCTCATTGACAGCCGCTAGAGGCGCTTGCATGCTTCTCACTGTGAAAATCACAGTGAGAAGACGCCAGCGTCCATAGGATGTTAATGCTTTCTTATGAACTGGCTGAATGTGCACGCGGCTCCTGCCGCTCATGCGCATTAAGCCGATGACGTCATTATGGAGGAGGAGAGCTCCCTGCCCGGCGCTGGAGAAAGGTAAAATTTTAACCCCTTCCTATCCCCAGAGCCCGGCTGGAGGGGAACCCTGAGGGTGGGGGCACCCTCAGGGCACTATAGTGCCAAGAAAACGAGTATGTTTTCCTGGCATTATAGTGGTCCTTTAAGAATGTGGTGTGCTCTTATGTCAATTATGTTTCATTGTTATATATGATGCTCTGGGGGAATAAAGAATGGATATTGCTGAACACTTTTCAAAGAATCTTCGTTTTTTTTTTTTATGTATATCGTCCTGTTTAATATTTTATTTTAAATGTTTGTTTTATTGGTTTTGTACACTTAAGTATACAGTAGTAATAATAACTGAACTATAAGATACTCAAAATAACTAGTACCTGAATATCCACTGGAATAATGAATAGTAATAATTCTATACAAAGTGAGATATAGAGATATATATAATGAGAAAATACAATAGAAAAATGGGTCAGGTGAAAGTAGAAAATAACTGCCTAATGGCAAAAAACTCCCTTCCTAATGTCTCTAAAAGTAGATACTGCAGTACACAGGTTTAGACTTTAATATATAATGCTTCATAGGTCAATATCTGTAACTGCAGGCTGGTATCAATACATCCAAAGAATATATAAGAGACATTTAGGACTTGCTTTTACCTAATAAGTCTCAAGCTGTGGCATTATATAAGATATAATACCGGATTGCTAGCATATTGGAACATTAGAGGCTGAGTAAGCAGAAAAGTATAAATAGATACTATATGTAGGATCTATTGAAAATAATTAGTAAATTGTATCAAAAAGTATCTATAATGTTAACTGCCATGTACTCAATTGCTAGCATATTGGGACATAAGTAATTGAATAAGCAGAAGAGTATAAATAGATACTATATATTGGATATAAAATAATCCAAAAAATAAAATGTATTAAGAGTAGTATCGACCATGTGCAGGTAGCCAGCATTCTAAGCATGGCTCTGCACATTTAGCACACTGTTTTTTCATTATTCACTTTATCTCTCTCTTATGCTTTATACCTCCTAATATGTGGCATATTATATAACAGATCCATTTGTGGATATATTTTGTCTATTCAATAATTTTGGATTTAGTTTATATGTGGCAGTTATTTAAGTGTTCTTGCATAGCAAGACCACTTAATGTTATCTCACATATATATTATTATTCTTATTATAGCCAACTTTGCCACCCTAACTCCTCCCACAGTTTTTACACTACATAGACCAAAATGTACCAAAACGTGCAGATTGTTCCCGATCGGATTGCTATTACTTTGTGGAACGTTTCGCCGAATGGCTCACGGAATATCGTCGTTCTTGTGGCGAAATTTGTCCCATAGGAATGAATGGCAAAGCTAGAGTGGGAGCTGGCAAAAGCTGAAAAATCAGGACATGATTTCTAAACTGCCACCACTCCCTTATTTTCAGGCCCACCTACACAAATCTTATATCAAAACGT